GTCAGAGGTTTTGAGGCTTTATTTCCTGCCCTGGAGTCCTGGGTTTCAGGGTCTGTCTCGCTCCCAATTGTTCTTCCCAGTTTATCCTCACAAAGATGTGGGACCCCCGCTCTGTCAGCCACCACCTTGCTGAGTGTCCTCTCCACCCCGCCTACCAGTCTGGATGAATGTGTCTTCTTTAACTCCTTGGTTGTCAAACTTCCATACAGTTTGATTTTCTGACAGTTCTGGTTGTTTTTTGTTTTTAAATTTGTTGTTCTTATTTTGGTTGTTCGAGGAGGCAAAGTGTATCTACTTTCACCTCCATCTTGGCTAGAAGTCCCATGTCACATTTTTCTATGTACAGTTTGAATTCTTTGGATAAAAATAGACTCAAGGTTCACAAGAATTTGTAAACTAGTTTCTACTTAGGATTAAATTGATAAACCTACAGCCACAATCAGAAGCATATTTTTTTTTACTGTGGTAATATGTACGTAACATAAAAAGTCTACTTTAACCATTTTTAAGTACACAGTTCAGTGGCATTAAGTTCACTCACATTGTGGTGCGACCACCACCACTGTCCATGTTCAGAACTTGTCATCTTCCCAAACCGAAACTCTACACTCGTGAAACTGTAACTCTGCATGCCTCTCTCTCACTCCCAGCCGTCCTACTGGTAACCGCCGTTCTACTTCCTGTCCCCGTAAGTCTGACTACTTCTCCTCCTGTATTGACTAAAGAAATGCCCAAACCTGTAGAGAATTTTTACGAGTTCATTTGAGCCAAACTGACAATGTATGCCAGGGAGCAAGATCTCCCTGAATGCTCCAGAGAATAACAGTAAAAATATTGGGAGTTTCCTAGTCACTTAAATGAAGAACCTTATTTTGGCACAGTTCCCCTGTCAGGGTTACGTTAGGACAGTGTGGGTACCCTGCAGGGCTATGTAGGGGCAACGCAGAGTTAACTTCTTGAAAATAGCAACTAAGGTTCACTGGCTGCCTTCTAGTTGTCGTTAAACATCATGACTACAAATAGAATTTAATACCCAAGTCGTTTTCGTTCACTCAGGCAGTCAAATTATCATGAACAAGGATTATACAATTATACCTAATATTTTTAACAGTTCTAATAATTTGCACCCCAAGATCTGAGGCCTACATATTAAATACAGATTTGTTGAAGTGAAATGCATAGTTTTATTACATACAATGATAAGAGTTACTGGGTATGATCCTGAAATCAATGCGCCAATCTGGTCCTTGTTGTCCAGTCGGCGTCAGGGCTGGATACCTCCACCTCTACTGTGCTTCTGTAGGATGTGGACGATGCCCCATGAGTACAAGGGTTCCAAGGTCAGCACATTTGGGAACCACTGGCTGAAATGGGTCTCGTTACCACAGAACTGATGCAATGACACCGTGACAGTGTGTGCTGTAAATCACTCGGAGCTGGCAGCCCACGAGCAGAACCCTGACTGACCACGGAATGCCTTCTTTAGAGCACCGCACAGCGCCTGTGCTCCACAGGACGCACTCGAGGACATGCTGATGGTTTGTTTGCTTTTTAAATTCAAGTACTATCAGTTGTAAGGGCATGAATCAGAGTTTACTGAGCTTGCCGTACAAGCAGGCATTGGCTTGAGGGCAACTTTTCATCTCAGGTGAAGCTATCCCAAGGTCAGTGCTGGTGGGGACCACAGAGATAACAAAATCTGTGGTTGTAGAATGGGTTCTATAATAAACCACCCGACCATTCTAATGTCGTTATTTTGCAACCAAACAGCTAGGTCCTTTTGCAATCTGTCTCTGACCTTTCTTGAGTAACTAGGCCATTTTGCAGTTTAAACTTGAACTCTGCCCACCCGACCAACCGCATTCCCTGCATTTTCCATTTCACCACAGCACTTGTTTTACCAGTTTACTTTACGGACTCCAAGGGAAACTAAGGCATCAGCCCATGCCTTGTGGCCCCTCCCCTGCTGACCATGTCTTATGACCGACTCCAACTGTTGACTATCTCCTGGGACTTCATCTGCTGGCCACGAGTCAGCTGAAACAGCCCATTATTCGTATTTCACAAGCCCACCTGCTGACACCGCTGAGACAGCAGAACTGGAGAGTCCAACTGGACTCACCAATTGCCTCACCAATCAAAAAATGAATGATAGAAGTTTATGGGCTTGTTAACCTAGCAATTCAGCCCCTTGACTCTCACTTTTAAAACCCTTGCCTCATTCTTCCCACCTTAGAGTGTGTCTGTGGTTCATGCTAAAGGCTTTGTATGTTCTGTCAACTTAAGAAATGTCCAAACCTGTAAGAATTTTTTATGAGTTTATTTGAGCCAAACTAATCACAATTGCTGGGAAGCCAAACCTCAACAGATTGAGAAAATATTCTGGAGAAATGGCAGTTTTGTACCTTATTTTATACATGAGAATCAGGAGAAGATAAAAGTGGGTTACAGGAAACCCACTGGTGATAGATCAGGGAGGTGGGAGAAAGCAAACCTCTGGGATTGGATAAAAAGTAAAATAATAAGAGACACATCTTTTACCTGGGTGGGTACAGGACAGTTAACAGTCTACAGTTAGCACAACAACAACAATAACAATGAGGAGGTTTGTGGTCTCCCCCTGGTGTGGTGCCTGTGCTTTGAGGGTCCAGAAAAAAGAAATCTGACATTGCAAAGGTGTGTTGTCATAGATGCAAAGAGGCAATAGGTAGGCTGTTAGGGTAAAGATTGGCTTTTGTCAGGGAAGACTCGAGCCTAAGGACACAACTGCCCATGACCTGCTTTTAGTTAGTTTTAATGTGAGAGCACCCTACGCGGTTACTTCAGGTCTCCGAGTCTGGAAGGCCGGCCCTCACTCAGGCCACCCCTGAGGTCCCAGGCTTAGGCCCTTTCACCCTCAGTTCTGATTTGCATATCATATCAGAATAAGACTCCCTTTCATTCCTCAGAAGAGTCCCTCGGACTTTCATTCAAGCACCTGAGGAACTTCAGGCTGGACAGCCTGCTAGGATGTTCTCATAGGGGCTGGGCGAGGACCCGTGAGAAAGACTCCCGCGTGGGCTGTGGAATGCAGCCTTTGATGCAGAAGTCCAGTGACCAGCACTGGGGCATGAGTCAGAAGTTCTCATTTCTTAAAATCCTATTTACTGGTGTCTTTCCTTCAATGAATAAGAACCAACTGCCTCCTCTGTTCCAGGCTCCATGCCTGGCAACAGCTTGACTCCACGCCAAAATCAAACGAGGGAAGTTTTTCTTGCATCGGCTTTAGTCTGAAGAGACTAAATCTTCACCTTCATCTAAGCTGGACTGTTTAGAAACTTGAAAGAACTTTTCTCAAATAGATTTCCAGTAGATGTTTTATATATTCTATTGATGTTTTTAAACAACAGCAAAAAAAAACAACAACAACAACAAGCCATTCACTATAAAAAGAGATACTTGTGAGACCGTGATTTATAATAATCTGTATCTGGTCTTCATCTCCACCCCCCTTGGAATGTCCTAGGTGCTGAGAGTGACAAAGATGCCTCTTGTTCTGTTCATGAAGTGACTGCTGAACCACCAACATGAGTTACAAACAACTAATCTGAATCTGTTTTAGAAAGATGTTTAAATTACTGCAGAGCCCACCCTGAATTCAACACAAGATCCTGTGGCCTGGAGAGAAACAGCAAATCTCAGGCAGCTGTCTCCATGTCTGGAAAACCCCACACTAAGCTCTGAAGCCCCAGCAAACCTAGTTAAACCACGGGAGTGTCATTTGGATATGCACTCTGATTTTTTAAATAAAAAGGACAGCCAAATTAAACAGCCTCCTCAGTATCATCCAAGGGAGCTGAGAACAGAGTCCAAGTATTGACTATTAGCCATTATTGGGAAATGGCTTGGTTAGACCACTCCAAGGGGACAACAGCACAGGCTATGAAAACAACAGGGCAAGATGCACGATAAACTAAAAGAACAGAAATCAGCTTCTCAGGAAGTACTGGACCACTTACATGCTCCATTACTAAAAGTCCTCCTCTACAGAATTTTAAGATTACATGCCACACACATTGCTAAACAGAAAACATGAGCACGTGTCACTGTTACATTGATATATATGTATATATGTTGAACCCTTGGAATTGTCAACATTTAAGGGATTAGCAAAACGGAACCAACAGAACAGACTGAAATAGAGCTAGAAGACACAGAAGCCAGGAAAGAGTTCCAAGAAAGGAGTACCCAATAGGGCCCCAAGCAGCAAAGAGCTTGGAGAGAACTAAGAGGTGCCCAGCGGATTTGGGCACCAGAGTCATTGGTAACCTTGACAAGAACAATTTCAGTACATTATTAAAGGCAGAAGCTGGTTTACAGTAGGTTAAAGAAAGAAAAGGAAGTATGAAAAATCTTTTAAAAAAATAACATTTTGTTAGTTTATTAAATGGGGAGTCATAAACACCATTGTTTTTTTTAATTGATTTTTGGAGAGAGAGGGGAAGAAGGAAGAAAGAAACATGTTGTTCCACTTGCTTACGCATTCGTTGGTTGATTCTCATGTGTGCCCGGACCAGGGATGAACAACCTTGGTATATACAGTGGACACTCGAACCAACTAAACTACTCAGCCAGGGCATTGAGAAACCTTTCAACATTTCTTTCTTTCTTTCTTTCTTTCTTTCTTTCTTTCTTTCTTTCTTTTCTTTCTTTCTTCCTTCCTTCCTTCCTTCCTTCCTTCCTTCCTTCCTTCCTTCCTTCCTTCTTCTTCTTCTTCCTTCCTTCCTTCCTTCCTTCCTTCCTTCCTTCCTTCCTTCTTCTTTCTTTCTTTCTTTCTTTCTTTCTTTCTTTCTTTCTTTCTTTCTTTCATTCATTCATTCATTCATTCTCATGTGTACTGAGTGGCTACTGGGTATAAACCAGTGGTTGGTTCTGAAGGGAAGAATGGAAAGAGAAGTTGAGGCTTTAAAATTTTTCCCAAGTACTTGGAGCCCTATTGGCCTATGAAGCATTCAGTGTTCTGACTCACTCATGCATGCTTTATGTATATGATATAGTACAAACTGTTGAAAGCAATGAATAAAAGGTGAATTAAGTGATCAACATTCAGTGCAGTATCAGCCTCAGGTAAATATCTTCACAGTGGTATGATTTCTCCACTGGGGGTAATTCTCCACTCAAGATCACCCATTCTCTGTAGCTGAAGATGAGTCCTGAGGTCATTTGGACATTTCTGCAGCATCAAATGGTAGCTTCTCAAAATGAAAGTCCCTCCACTTTGCATACAGTCTCTGAGCTCCAGTGGCAATATCCTCCACCACAAAACTTTCAATTTTTATAAGTGGGATGTCAAATGTCTTGTACCTCACACAGATCCCCCAGTCGTGGCTGCAGTCCTGTCTACCGCAGAATATCTTTGCTTTCTTCTCAAAAATCCCCAAATTCTTTGGTTTGGGATGTGATCTAGTCACAAAGCACTCCCTGAAAGCATCTCCAACCACAGTGTAATGGCATTCCTATAGAGGAAGGGATAGAACATACAAAACAGAATGTTACAAGTTCACAATTGTTTTTTAAAAACCTCCACAATAATCTGAGATGAACAGCAGGTGGGATCCTACTTATTTTACATAAGGGGAAAGAAGGAAATATGGATTCACCTGAAGGCCAACGTAGAATCCATACAGCCTGATGCACAATTACAAGTGAGGGCTGGGGGTGGAGGGGCAAGTGAGTTGACAGGGGACTCTCAAGAAGAGGAGGACTAGGAAGTTTCCAGGCAACCTAGTTTCTTGAAGTAGATACTCTTTATTAGTTTAGAAAGAAAAGGGGTATTTGTTGCAGATCCGTGAAGCCTGAGTTTACCAGTGGCCTGACAGGCATCATTCAAAAGATACAGGGAAAAACAGCAAAGGGTCAGTGTGGATCTGAACAGGGGGAGGGACTACGTGTCCACAGGCCCCACCTACAGGTAACTTTAGAGAAAAACTTAAAAAAAAAAAAAAAAAAAAAAAGGCTGCACAGAGCAAATGCAGATCCAACTTACCAGTCCCTCAGGAAAACACACAGTCTAAAAGGGCCATTTTCAATAGAAAAATCACCCAGCTGAAAGGATCTTTTATAGTTAGAGAAGCAAACTCAGAAAGGTCTGGAAACCTGCCAGTATTGCCCCTAATACAGCTTTCTGAAGAGCAAACAGAACCCTAAAGAAATAATCATCTGAACCAGCACAGGCCCTCCACCCAGCCCCCCAATAGCAGCAAGTGAGTAATATCCCATTTCTGTCTTCTGAGATTTTTCTAACCTTTTATCTAAAAGTGAAAATAAATAAATAATATATATAGCATTTATTTATTTATTTGTATTTATTTATTTATTTATTTATATAACCTGCAGATACTGTGTTTTAAAAATAAGGAGATATTTTGCTTGTAAAAGTGATTTGCATCCCAAAAAGAAAGTTTGGAAAACATAAAAAGTACACAGAGAAATAAATCATGGAGTCTTGCTGCAAAATAATAATACATGTTAGTATATTTCCTGTAGTTTTTTTTCTGTATAGTTTTTCTGTATTTTTATACTGATAGTGGTATTGCTGCTACTATTTCACACAGCTATAATCGTAGCATGTTTATAATTTTGTATCCTGGTTATTTTTCCACTTTACAAAGAGTTTGTAAGGAGTTTTCCATTATACTATGTAAACTTCATAATCACTTTAATAAACTACTTTGGAATACTTTTAGATTTATACGTAAGTTACCAATGTAGTCCAGAGAATTATTATATACCCTTCAGTACCTTTTCTGAATACTAACATCTTACATACCATAATGTATTTCTCCAAATTAAGAAGTTAATATTGATACATTACTATTAACTAAACTACAGATTTTACCTCTTTTCCTAGTAATGTAACAGGGTACAAAGTGGGGGTTCCTGAAAATAGCAAAGCATTTTCCCCACAAACCTTGATTGGGGGGAGGGGGAGCAGATAATATGTTAAGATACTTTGCATAACAATGGCAAGTCAATAGCTGTGCTGCCACCCTGGGCAAAGGTGTACATGACAGTCAGAGCATTCAGTGACTGATGACATATCCAGGGGAGGTGGATGACCCTGTGTCATGGGAAACTCTTGCCTTGACTAATGATGGCAGCCAAAAAAAGGTAAAAGATAGCAGGGAACTGGTAAAAGTAGCACATGGTAGGAGGGGCTGGATATGAGGTCACAAAGGAAGTTCTGGGCAGAGCTTTCAAAATAAGGGTGGGCTAAAAGATAAAGGGGTTCCGCCTGAGGTCTGGAAGAGAGGAGGGAGAAGCCATGCAGGAGGAAAGGGTATAAGGAGAGAGCTGATGGAGCTGTGCAGGAACCTGCCTAACCAAGCACAGATTCCTGGGAGATGCCTGGAGCTGAACTGAACTGTGACCGGGAATGCTGAGCTGCAGACTTCGGCCTTTCTGCAGGACATACGAAGAAGTCACTCTCTTGGGACGTGTGCCTTTCCAGATTTCACCATGATCCAGTGCAATAGGCATATGTTTTCCTGAACCACTACATGGAGACTGAGATCAATGTACCCCAGGTCCTGAAGGAGAGAGCTGCTGCGACAGGATGGCGACTCTGAAACCCACAAGAGCATTTCCAGAGGGGATGGAGCCCTGCTTGTGTAGCTGGCTTAAGAACAGATAAAGATATGAGAAACTTCTGGGCATGGTTTTGGCTTATAGCCTTTTGGAGAGCAAGGGGAGTGCTGGTCTTGTGGGAGAACAGGGCTCTGAGCAGGAGTGCTCTCAGCATCCCCCTCCCAGGTTGGAATTCTATAAATAAAAACCTGTTTCCTTCAACACTAATTGTTGGGCCGTGCATCAAGGTGCCACATGGACAAGCCCCTGGTTACTTGGTTACAGTAATACCCTTTTCTCTGTTCTAAAATCTAATCCAGGAAACCACAGTGCATTTAAGACACCCATTATTTTTAATGGCTACATAATTTTTAATTAAGTGGCTGTGCAGAAATTTTTAAAACTATTTCTTTTTTGTTGAAACAAAGGGTTTCTTTTAACTTCTTAGTTTTTGTAAAATACATGGACTATAACATGATAAAGTTGTATGGAAATAATAGTAATCTCATCACAAATAACTCATCATTAGTTGGTTATCTTTAATTAGTGCTAAAAAAATGACCCAGTGCTCTTTGTGGAAAAGGCTGCTTACTTACCTCTATCACTCTTATATCAGCCGTATAACATGCAAAGGCTTTGCACTTTCTGCAGAGCAGCTTTTTATTTTCCTTATCAAGTACAGGTTCTGTTTTTCCTTGATTATCCCTGATTAATTTTTCAGTAATCTGTATCTGGCGAATCTAAATGGGAAAAAGAAAACCCTCATAAATGTAGTTTAAGTATAACTAGGACACACACAACACACACACGTGTATCGTTTACTCTGCATTCACATGCACTTCCACGAACATGTCATACCTGGCAGCTGTGTAAAAATCCCATAGATAATTTTATTGGTTCGCCTAACTTTCTGTTAGTCAATGTTTAACTGTGGCCTCCAACTAGTCTTTTAATTTCCTCATCAAAGTTGCCTATAAAAGCACTAAGGATGGCCATAAAATAATTAATGTGAACAATGCTTTCTACTTCAGTAGCTGGCAAAACTTAAAATGTCCTTCACAAATAGGCATATGATATGCATTGACTGTTTCAGACATAATGACACCCACTTCCAAGGCAAAAACCCACCAAACAGAATGGCAGGCAGAAGAGCCCTCACCATTTAAAATCTTTTTATCTCTCTCCTCTTCCAACCACAGAGAGTACTGACTGCATTCTATTTCAAAATTTAGGCCTTGGCCAAGTACAACTTATGTTTATTTAAAATTAACATAAGAAGGTTCTAAAGGGTGCAGAGAGGAAGGCAGACCAGCTAGGAACCTTGGAACCCTAGGAGCCCTAGGAGCAGCACGGCTGTGAGTGCCCTGGGTTTTCTTTTCACCACATCTACCCCAGACTGGAGCCGAAGAAGCGGGCAACCAGAAATGCCTGTGGGCACAGATAAAGTCTTGACAAAAGCTTACTCTCTCCAGCCAAAGGGCCAGGAAAAGAGCAGTCTAGAAAGACAGAAAACTTTTAGCCAGTAAACATTTGACTCCAGCCAAACACCAAAGAATAAAACAAAACAAAACAAAACACTGTGACCCAACCTCCATCCACGCCAGTGCAGGCTCAGAGGGAAACCTCGATTTTCACTCTGAATGGCTGTAACGAAGCACCCCAACACTCCCGCCTGGTGGGGTCAGGGAAGGCCGAGAAGAGAGCCAGGACTTCTATCCCTGCTCACTAGTAGCTCCCCTTGCCTCTGGTGTCAGCAGAGTCCACATGGGGAGCCCAATCTCCCACTTCCACCCAGCAGTAACAAGGAGTCTCCCCTTGTTGGTATCAACAGAGGCTAAACGGGGAAGCTAGGCTTGTACCTCCACCTACCAGTGACAAGACAATGTCCTCCGCCTGCTCTGCCAGAACAGAAGGCAGAAAAAGCCAGCTAGCACAGAAGGTTAAATAAGATCTCAAGCCTCATAATGTAATATGAAAATGTTCGGGTTTTAATTAATAAAATCACTCCTCATATAAAAAGCTAGAAAGATCTGAAACTGAATGAAAAAAAAAAAGACAATCGATACATGCCACCACTGAGAAGACAGAGATGTTATAATTATCAGAGAAAGATTTTTAAAGCAGCCATGATAAAAAGGCTTCCATGAGTATTCATAAATGCTCTTGAAACATGAAAAACTGTAAAGGCTCAACAAAGAAATGGAGGCTATGTAGGAGGACCAAATGGAAATTTTAGAGTTGGAAGACGTAATAGCTAAAGTAAAAAGCTCAGCGGATGGGCTCAGCAGCAAGATGGAGCAGACAAAGGAAAGAATCAGTGAACTGGAACAGAGAGTAACAGACATTACCCAAATGGAATGACAGCAAGCATGCAGAGTGGAAAAAAATGAGCAGAGCCTCAGGGACCTTCAGGACTATCAAAAAAGACCTGACATTCATGTCACTGGAATCCTGGGCAGAGAGGAGAAACAGAGTTTAAAAAGCACTAGAAGGAATAAAGGCTGGACATTTTCTAGATTGAACATCATGTAATATAAACTTACAGATTCAAAAACCTGAACAAACACCAAACAGGATAAACCCAAAGAAATCCACACTAAGATACATTATCATTAAACTTCTGAAGACTAAAAACATAGAAATGATGCCTTACCTAAGGAGGGAAAACACTCTGAAATTACAGCAGACTGTTCGTCAGAGACCATGAAGGCCAGAAGAAAGTGAGACAACATTTTTCAAAGGCTGAAAGAAAAAACTGTCAACCTGGACTCCCATACCCAGCAATATGCTTTCAGAAATAAAGGGGAAATCAAGACAACCTGAGATGAAGGGGAACTAAGAGAATTTGTTCACCATCGGAACTTCCCGAAAAGAATGTCAAAAGGAAGTTCTCTAAACAGAAGGAAATGATGAAAGAAGGAATCTTAAAACATCATAAATGAGGAAAGAACATGGTGATTCCACACTGTCAGCTGTAAAGGGTCTGCCCTGTCTCACCTGTTTGTGGGGTTGACTCTCTTTTCTCAGATTGTATTTTATCAGGGTTCCAGGTAGAACCACAGCCCAGGTGCAAACCCTGTTCCTATCAGCTGTGTAATGTAGGGCAAGTGCCTCAGTTTCCTCGAATACAAAATGAGAACAACTATAGCATCTACTCTGTGCGCTGTTGGGAGGTGACATGTGTGAAGGACCACCTGGCACAAGCTAAATGCTCATCAGTGTTATCCTCGGCTTATTAGGCTAATCATGTGCTTAAAACAATGAAAATATTAATGACAACATTTTGTGCTTTAGTATTGGGTTAGGGCAATCTCCACTCATCACTTATCTTTTCAGAAATATCACAACCATGTTTATGCATTTTCTGTATAAACTCTGAAACCATTTTATCACGTTGGAAACATACTTTGATTCTGGGTTATGATGAGCCTCAAAGTGAATTTGAAGCAAATACACAACTTTAAAATATCCAGCCATTCCATTCAAGAGCAGAGCATTTCTTTTCTTTTGTCTTAACTTACCTCATACATCTCAGTAAAAGTTTAATAGTCATTATTCACGCTTCAAACATTTGTGGTTAGGCTAGTAGGTGTAGTAGTTAAACAGGTGAGCTTTGCCAGCTCTACCCTAACTGTGTGATTTATTGCTGCTGAAGCTCTTCATGCCTCGGTTTCCCTCCTATAAAATGATGTTATAAGAGACTCTACCGCAGGGCTTGGTGGAGGTGGATAATCCATGTTCTGTACGTGTGAGTTACAATTATTGTTGTCACTGTGAATGGAAATCTCCCTCTCCTTCATATCTTCTAACTAGTTACTCATCAATCATAGAAAATGCATTGATTTCTAAAGCTCTTCAAATTCAAATAAAATTTGACTTAAATAAAGTTAGAGCTGGAATGTAGGAAAACAATCAAAATATGAGTTCCCAAACCCTACTCCCAATTCTTTCACCTGAAATTATCTTCACTGTTTTTGTAAAAAGAAAGAATGTTTATGCCTCATATTTTTCTTTTTTTTATAAAGATTTCATGTATTTATTTTTAGAGACAGGGGAAGGGAGAGAGAAAGAGAAGGGAGAGAAACACCAATGTGAAGATGACATATCAAATGGTTGCCTCTCAGGTGCCCCGAACCAGGGACCTGGCCTGCAACCCAGGCATGTGCCCTGATGGGGAATTGAACTGGTGACCTTTTGGTTTGCAGGACAATGCCCAACCCACTGAGCTATACCAGTCAGGGCTATGCCTCCTTTTTTCAACTCAATTTTTCACTGCTGTAAAACTGTTACATTATGTGTATTTATTTCCGTTTCCATTGCCATTATTTCCTTTGGATAGATTTCTAGAAGTGAAATTCCTGGGTTACATGATACACGTTTCCCTTTGAGCAACTTAATGTCCTTTTCCCAGATATGGATCTAGTCACTACTTAGAGCAGACGGGGGGGTGGGGAGAATGTGATAGGAATGAGGGTAAAGATATAAACTTGCCCTTCAAGCATCCAACTTTTAAAAATTCACTTAAATCCAACGATATTAAATTATGTACTAAAATTCGATTAAATACTCATAACCCGAAATATTTTACTTTATTTTTAAATCTTTATTATATTTTATAATCCCAAATATTTTACATGTTACTACAGGTAATAAATCCCAGTGAGTTAAAACTATTACAGCTATACTTAAAACTAACTCAATAACTGGACAAAGAGACTCAACCATCACCACAAGTTAGCCTGCACGGCACACTGCCTCTCCCCTCCACCGGCGGCTGGAGAAGCCGCCCAGTACTGTGCCCTGAGGCAGAAAAGAGCAAAACTCTGAAACCCCAACTGTGCTGTCACGGGTACAAATCACACTGGAAGGTCTTTCATCAAAATGAACTTTGTTTTACCCTGCATCTCGTTCTCTGCTCTATGAGGAAGGAAAGTGGGCTTCCTCATTTTGATTTCAAATTAGAACTGTGAAAAATACCCTTTACATCTTATTTCTCTAGAGTGAAACACTCCCAGATTCTGAAGCTTCCCTGACGGCAACCAGTCCTTGGATACCCCTAGACCACCCACATGTTAAAAAGGCAGCAGAGTAACCAGCGATTCCCCAGGGACCACCGTGCTCTAAGGCAGGCCAGCCACAGCAGGCAAGGGACAGCACGGCTTTGGGGCTGGGGAAGAAAGCGTACACTCTCCATCTCCATCCCCCCGGTGACTGCCCTAGAGAGCACCAAACTTGTCCCCTCTCTCCTGCAGAGTTTCTTCCTCCCATTAAAACCAACACGCAGGGGCCAGGGTGCTCAGATCCAATACCCGAGCCCTTATCTAGACGGCACAGAGAGGCGTCTCACCCCAGGAAACATTACTACTTTCAGTTTTAAGAGTACAAGGTTGCCCCTCCCTTGTTACACTTCCACTAAACCTCTGAGAGCAAAGCCTTCCTCTGTCAAGGGAGCAGCTGCTCATCTATGACAGGTCAGGGGCGATGCCAAGCCCCTGGGCTCCTAGCGGCTACAGAATGACCCCGAGCTGCATGTGTCTGGGTTCCCTCTCATTCTTTGCCATCTCTGCTGATTTTCTTTTTCTTTTTAAATTTTTATGTATTGATTTTAGAGAGAGAGGGAGGGAGAGAGAGAGAAACATCAATTCATTGTTCCACTTACTTATGTATTCACTGGTTGATTCTTGTATGTGCCCTGACTGAGGATCGAACCCACAACCTTGGTGTATCAGGACAACACTCTAACCAACTGAGCCACCTGGCCAGTACAGGGACCTGTTCCTCGTGGCGTGGGAATGTAGCCCAGCTCTCACTCGGAAAGGCCAGTGGGAAGTGAGGTTCCGGCACACAGGAGCCACGCCCATGGATAGGTTCTCCTGTGGGGAATCAGGCCTGCATTGTACCTAAGCTGCCATGAGACTTGCTTTTGCTAAAACTCCCTCACCCTGGATTGAGGCAGCAGGTGCTTACTGTGACTTCCTAAAATCTGTGCTAAACCTGGTATGGAGTGTAACCAGTTCAACGACTTTACCCCTTAATCTGTAACATCCTTCTCTTTGAAGCAAGTAGCAACATTCTTTCCTTTGTTATCTGTAAAAGGTAATCACCTACAGCAAACCTGTGCGTAGCAAATGAGGACCATCCTCAATGTAACGTACCCAGAAAAGCAATAAAAGCCTGTCCAGGTAGGGGCCAGGGCCCTCTCTCTCTCTCTCTCTCTCACTTAGAGAGTGGCTGTGCCATCCCTTTTCTCCACAGGACTTCTGCAGTCCATGTGTATTTGTGCATAGCCGCCATGACACACAGATCCTACTGGCCAGGGTGCACGTCAGGCCAGGGCACTGTTTTCTCTCTGTGGGTGCCAGGGGAATCCCAAATGCTATTCAATAGCCCAATTCAACAGATCCATAACCTGTTTTCTCCCCACTCCACGACCTGACCTGGTGTGCTGGCTACAGAAGACTGTCTATGCCTGGTCCAGCCTCCATCTTCCTCAGTCGACCTTTACTCGGTTGTTCTGCCACGTGTGAGTCTAATAAGTAGCTTGTAAATTCGTGGAGTAGATAAATATTATCCCACAGGTACTAAAGCTAATATGGTTTTAAGGCCTTTATTGGCAACATCCCAATGTCCTATAGGCTCGGTGAAAGTCCCCTATCCCTCAGTAAAACTAAGGAGGAAACTCAGGAGGAACTAAAGAATTTCCCTGCAATTCTTCTTACTGAAAATATGGAAGAGGTGTTTTCAAATATCTTGGTCTCCAAACTTTAGGAATAAACATTTTTTAAAATGAGTAAACACTGACCTAAAGTTGCATTTTTTTTGCTAAAAAAATGGTCAATTTCCTTTACATCAATGTTTCTCAGTATTTTTTAATCATTGAGATTATGACTTAAAGTTGTGGATACTGTGGAGTTGCTCTCCTGAATTGGAAGGTCCATCTTCATGAAAATCGTGCCTCACACCTGTGTCCAAAAACGACTCATTTTTTGAGCTCTTATTTTATATCAGCCCTGTACTAAGCAATGCATACACTTCATTTCATCCCCTAAATTTCCCTGAGAGTTTACTGCTGTTATTTCTCCAACTTCACAAATGAGGGAATGGATGATTTAAGACAGAGTAACAACCTGAACTCACTCATAAGTGGCAGCACTGAAGCTGGGACCACTGATGGTTACAGCTGTCCTCTGGCCCTATAGTGCTCGATGATTCCAGAGATCCTGAGATGGAAATCTCTGCAAAGCCTGGAGAAAGTGTGGGTGTGCACGCATGTGCGTATATATGCATGCGCGTATCTTCATTTCCCCTCATCTCATTCTATGTGTCCGAGGTGTAAAGGAAATTACATTAAAATGAAGGTTACCACCAAGAGACTGAACTGAACTGAAAGGTGTGCCACTCCAAAGTACACATTATTATCCATGCCTACGATCAGGCATTCCGACACCATTCTGGATGTTAGAGAGATCCGAGGAAAAGATCGAGAAGGGCTGTGTTTTGCGGTATTTGGGTGTTACCCTCAAGATAAACTGTCAACAGCAATCCTAGCTCAGTTTTCCTTTTACATAAAAAAAAACCCCAACTTTAGGTATTAGCATTAATAGAATATATTTTAATCTCATTGAGACTTAAAAGTAGAATGAATCTGATGTTCGCTGCCAGACAAATTTTTAAGCTTACACTTATTGTTCTAAGGTAACACTCAGCCATCTGATGCAACATGCTCACATTCCCCATTTCTTACTGATGGTCAGATTCTGAAAGAGTAGCACAGACAGAAAGACTTACCTTTTCTTTAAATGCTGCTTCATCCCATGTCTGAAGGCTTAAAATGGAGGTATTCATCATTTTTTCTTTGCACATGTTCATTTTTTCTTTTTCAATTACATCAGCATTACTAGTCAGAAGGAAGCACTTGCTACCTCTTGCTCTTCCTCTGCCTGTTGGAAAATAAGTATTTCATTTGGCATCTTTAACTTAAAACACTGATAAATCTAAGAACTGGTAAGCAAAGAGAAAGGGGTACTCCTAAAATTCCACTCTGGTGTACTGGATCCTGCTTTGCAAGTAAGCTGAGCTGTCAGGGCACAGACTCAGGTGCAGGTAGGCACCTGCACCCTGAACATACACGTGAACTAGGAGTCCGCCTCAGACTGGCTCCCTCGGAGTCTCCATGCTGTCATGTGATCAGAGAGCCACATCATCAGAAACACTGCTTTAAAGGCAATCCAACATGAACCCTCAGGGTGACACCGTGAGGGCTCTAAGCTGAGTAACAGAGATCCTCACCCAGGAGCCTCCTAGGAAATGGGGAAATAAGCTATGTGCACACCCACCAGAATTAGGTGCGAAATGGTAAGTGCTGAAAGACAGATGTAAAGAGCTACAAATGTTCAAAAGAGAGATGATTGACAGCCAGGGGAATTAGGGACAGGTGATATGGAAGGAGAGGGAAAGTAGCAGTACATGAGCAATTCCTTCAACAAGGAAAAAATCATGAAGTCAGGTTGGGAAACAAGGTTGGAAAGGTACGTGGGTGCTAGATTTGAAACCTGTGTAACATCCAGAAAACTGGGGAACCACTGGGGTTTCTGTACAGGGAAGTGACACGCTCAGAGCTGTTTTCCAGGAAAAGTAATGCGGCAGCTGTTGTGACAGAAACTGAAAAAAGGAAGACCAGTTAGGAGACCCTCTAGTTCAAGTGGGACGGAAGTGCCCCGTGAATACAGAGGGCCCAGCGGCAGCACAGGCACAACCGGGAAAGGCCCACGTGGTGACTGTCAGAGCCTTGGTCGAAGTGAGAACCATCCTCCCGTAAACATGTCAGTCAGTGCTGGTCAAGTGTGTGTTTTTCTTCATGAACGGGAATTAAAACAGTGGACAAAACTGTAGCCACCTGGTCCTGACCAAATAAGCCACATTTATAGCAGTGATACCACAGCGCACCATGCCATTGGTCACACACACAAGTATGACCCGCTAAAGAAGGCCAGAGCGGAAGACACACTCACACATCAGACAAACTGGCAGACACTGAATACAAGCACTGATGCTGCCCTCACCTCTGGTCTGGATCATTCGGATGACGTTGCCCACATACTCGTACAGGATGACCAGATTGCACTGCGCAATGTCAATGCCTTCATCAGCCACCGAGGTGGCGATCAGGATCTTGTTGTCTCCGTGGGTTCTGAATGCATCCAGTACACACTTCTGTGCTGGGAGGGTCATTCCTGTGGCAGAGTCAGAGGGCAAGACATAACTCACCAAAGAGGGAATTTCACCCTTGAAAAAAATAGCTACTAATAATGGGGTGCTTATTACATGCCAGGTACTGTGTAAGTGCTTCATATTCACGATCTCCCAGCAGCCCCAGGCAGTAGGGCCTATTCCCGTCATTGTTGCAGAAAGGACATTTAATGTGGTGACAATTTGGACTCTGCTCCAAGACTGCCTGAGTTCAGATCCCAGCCTCAACACTTACTAGCTGTGTGGCTTTAGCTGTGTTGTCTCAAAACAAATACTGATTTTTTTTTTGCAAAAATAAATAGTAGTGCCTCTGCATGTGTACAGGAGTTCACAGCTAACAAAACACTTTCATCTACTTACTCACTGGAACTTCACAAAGCCCTTTCAAACTGATGTGGCCAGTGTTATGATTCCCCTTCGTGGATGAAGGTTTTGGAAGTGTGGTAAACTGACAGCCTGGCTCGCAGCGGGGCCAGGCCTTGACTTTTTAAGTCTAGGGAGCTAATAGTGTGCAGTTCTCAGCCACTGATACACTGAGCGGAGAAAGAATTTCAGAGATCATCGCTTCAGAGTTCATGGAATTTATAAAAGTTCCATTTTTTCTAGTACAGTGGCAGTCAAAATCTTGAGATATGTTTTGTGAAGGCCAAACTAACTTCTTTTCACTATCTCCTAAACAGTGAGCATGCCCAAGACGGACACCATACTTTATTAATTTCTGAACTTCTCCATCTATCTGCACATTAAACATTTCTTCAGCACTATGGTTTGTCAAATAAGGGCACAGTGGTCAAAGGCCCACCTTCACCCACACGGAGCTCACAGGTGGAAGGAGAGGGATGTCACGGGAAGCTAGGACTCCAGTCGACGAGCGGTGAGATGGAGGCAGGACAGGGTGCTGTGGGAGGGTGGAGGGGCGCGGGGGTGGGGCGGTGCTTGGCAGAGGGACAGTGGCTGGCACAGAGTAAATTCTAAATAAATGTGGATGGATGGGTGAATAAATTAAGAAACCAATAAGAAAATGTTTTCTGAGTGCTTATGTGTGGGGAAATAACAAAGTTGGCAAATCAAATTGCAGTCTCAGAGTCAGATGGCAGAGGACTTGGAATTCCAACCTCAACAATGTGGTTTTCAACTGCACATGGCAAGCCAAGTTTTCAAGATATGAATTTGCTCTTTAGAGTCATGAAATTTAAAATCTGTACAAGGGGGAAGTTCAAATGATGACTGAGGACTGGTAAGGTGGGTACTGCTTATTATAAGCCACATGAACTAGGAGGAACAGAGTGAGGACCTGAAGCATGGGGAGCAGAGCTGTGAGGCTGCCAGGTGGAGGCTGGCTGCCTGGGCTCCTCCTGGGTGATAACGGAGGCAGCCTTACATCCTCTGACCTCCTTGCCAGATTTCAAGATTGTCTGCTTGGACTATTTTTTTTAAGATTTTATTTATTTATAGACAGAAGGAAACAGAGGGAGAAAGAGAGGGAAAGAAACATCAATGTGTGGTTGCCTCTCTCACGCTCCCTACTGGGGACCTGGCCCCCAACCCAGGCTTGTGCCCTGACTGGGAATTGAACCAGCGACCCTTTGGTTTATAGGCCAGCACTCAATCCATTGAGCCACACCAGCTGGGGCTGCTTGGACTATTTTTTAAATTATAAAATGTATAATATACACAAAAGCATCTACAGTTTAAAGAACAATAAAATAGAAGCAGATCATTTCTATTTCCAGTTAATCTATTGTTAAAAATCTATATGTTAAAAAAAAAACAACAACTTTGGTTTTGTCTGCAGCACATATGGAAGGAGATGTAATTAAAGTTCCTAACCAGTTGACATTAAGTTAAACAGGGGTTCCCCCCTAGGTGGGCCTGACCTAATCAAGTTAGCCCTTTAAAAGACAGCTTTGGAGTTTCCTGAGCTCAGAGACTCCGAACAGCTCATGCCTATGGAGTTCCAACCTGCTCCTGACCACCTACCCTTCAGACTTAAAACTTGTTTTGCCAGTAAAATAGTATATTCCAAGTCCTTGTAATAAATCCCTGTGAGTGTATGTACACATATGTGTGTATGTATATATGCATATATGTACATATATATAATCTTCTACTAGTTCTGCTTCTTTAGTTGAACCCTGACTGATACCAACATTAATAAAAAAATTGAATTATATATATTCTTATATATAGTATACCATATATAAATACCTATGTTCTGATTTGTTTTGCCACGTCCAGTCAATATGCCAGGTTTTAGAAAGCTGAGTGTAGAATGTTCCTCAATCCAATTCTTTAAAGCCTGAAAATGAAAAGCAGTTATCAGTTGGACATTATTTGTATCCCATCTGTATTAATTCAATACTGAAATGTATGCAAGAAGAAAAAAACTTTAAGTTAGTATGCAGACAGGTTTCAGACTGATAAACCTAAGAAAAAAAGCTTCTGGGAACTGAATCATTTATATGCAATAATTAATCATAAAAGTACAAATCTTTGTGATCTGATATGGTTTAATTGCTAAGATATTTTTAAGTGAGAAAAGCAAAGTTTAGAAGAGTGTATATGTAGAACTGAGAAGTGAGCTTATTAGCAAGATCTGAGGACACAAGATCAGCATACAAAAATCAGCTGTATTTCCACATACTAGCAACAAAAAATAAAAGGACCATTTACAATTGCATTAAAAAGCAATACTTCAGTACAAGTCTAACAAAACATGTGCAGACTCTGTATGCTGAAAACAACAAAACACTGGTGGAAGCAAAGATGTGGCAGGTGCCCTCTAAGGCAGCCCTCCATGATCTGTACCCCCGGTATTCAGATCCTCATGTCTCTCCCCCTCAAGCATGAGCTGAACTTACTGACTTGCTCCTAATTAATGAAATACGACAGACATGATCAGATACCACTTCCACACCAAAGTTACAAAATGACTGTGACCCCCATCCTAGGCATTCTTTCTCAGTCTCCCTTGACCACTCGGTCTAGGGGAAGCCAGCTGCCCTGCTGTGAAGCAGCTCTGGGGAGAGGCCCCATGGGTGAGCTCAGAAGCACCTGCAAGGCCTGCCAACAGCCAGCTAAGTGAGGCTGGAGGTCCAGCCCTGAGGTGACGGCAGCCATGGCCAAACACCTTGGTTACAGCCTCGTGAGAGACCCTGAGCCAGAAACACCCAGTTGTTTCCAGCTTCTGGATCCACGGATACTATAAGATAATAGATGTCTTTGTGATAGTAGATGTCTTTGTCCAGTCACTAAGTTTTGGGGCAATTTGTTATCAGTGAGAGAGAGCTAATACAGAAGCCCTATATAAGTGAACAGATATACTATGGTCAGGAATTAGAAGGTTCAATAGTATTAAGATGTCATTTCTGCCCAATTTGTTTACAGATTCAGTGCAAGCCCAAAAGAAATCCCAGTAGACTTTTTCACAGATGTGAACAAGCTGATTCTAAAATATAAACGGAAAGGCAAAGGAAGATAACTAAAACAATGTTAAAGAAAAGAAAAAGTTAGAGAACTCAAACTAGCTGATCTTAATAGTTACTATAAAGCTATAGCAGCCAAGACAGAGGGGAATGGGTGAAAGAATAGATGTATAGATTTATGGAACAGAATAAAGAATCCAGAAATAGATCCAAAAAGTACAGTCAACTGATTTTTGAGAAAGCTACAAAGGCAGTCAAGTGCAGAGACAGCAGAGTTCCCCACACACAGCACTGCTGGAACAGCGGGGTGTCCACAGACAACAAAGGGGAAAAGCACCTCAACCCACACCTCAAAGCGGATTGTAGACCTAACTGCAAATTGTAAAACTACAAACTCCTAGAAGATAACCCAGAGAAAGTCTTTGTGATCATGGGTAGGCAAAGTGCTCTTAGATACCAAAAGCACAATCCACAGAAAGAAAAAAATCAATTAACTGGGCTTCATCAAAAGTTACACTGTTGATCTGTAAAAGACAGTCTTAAGAGAATGAGAACACCAGAACAAAACATTTCAAATCACATTCCCGACAGAGGACGTTTTCGTGAGACTATAAGAACACTTAAAAACTCAACAGTAACATGACAAACAATCCAACTACACCCAATTTTAAAATGGGCGAAACATGTGAACAGACACTTTACCAAAGAAGTCATATGGATAGCTAATAAATACATAAAAAATGTTAAATGGCATTAGTCATTAGTCAAACGGAAATTAAAACTCTAGTATATGTATTACTATATACCCATAGAATGGCTAAAATTTTTTACATTGATGAAAAGAATAAAAAATGCATAAAGGTACCAAGACACCATTATAAACTATAGAGTGATTACGACAGTGAAGTGAAGAAAATAATTTTTTCAATAAAATGGTGCCGAGTCATTTGTCATCCACAAGGAGGAGAAGCAGCTTACGTCCACAAGCGCTCTGGTTTTCACAAAGAGAATGGTTCTGGTCTCTGGGTTCAGGTGGTACTCCTCCTGCAAGACGTAGCAGAGGTCCCTGAGTTTAGGGTTCTCGTTGCTGGGATCCATGGAAATGCTCTCTAGTTCCTGCAGCTTTTCTGCAAAAGAAGAATGTTTTTATACATGACTTATAAATTCTAAAAATCTAGAACACACCGTGACTTTCAGCTATAGTTCAGGTAATCTCTCAATCTATGACCAGAGTTTTATAAGTGATAACTACTGATTTAATGCATACATTTAATACACTAATAAATGCATTTTCCCCCGAGAGCTGGTTAGCAGCCCATCACTGGGTTACACATATGCGTAGTAAATACTTCCGTATAGTCCCCCCAAAATTACTAACTGTAATTACCTTTGGGGGAAAAAATTGGGGGAGAGGGAAAAGGAAGACTTACTTTTCATTTAGTATCTTCCTATATTTTTCTTAATATGAAGGATGTGGGACTATGAGCCAGTTTGGTTTTTTTCTTTACACAGAAGTATATGTAAATTAGAGTATTTTAAATATCATTAGAATACTTTTTTTGCATTTTGTAAACCTCTATAAAATCACTAAAATTAAAGTAAAAATATGCTATCAATTAACTATTTCTATGGAATGTATCCTTTGCACATCCTACTAGTTTTCCTTCTTCAAAACTGGAAATGCAGTCAGCTGCAGATTCTTTCCCTAAGTACCAGACCCCACTGAAGCTTAACAGTCCTGCCATCTACGATACCCTCATAAGCCCAGGACAAGTCTGTGAGCATCACCACGTGCTAAGTACAACACCACACCACTATGCAGCCACTGGAGTCACCAGGCCCCATGGCTCCCTCCACTGGGAACACCACCCACCTTCAAATCTCCGAGTGAGATCCTGCTCAATCTCATCAAATCCTGACGCTCGGACATTACGGAAGAAGTCTTTCAAGTAATCCAGAGCATCTTTTGTCCGTGCATGCTCATTGATAATGAGAGCATCATTAAATTTCTGTGCAAAATGAAAACTTAGTTTCAATATATTTCTAATGTCTTAACACACTTGCCATACTTAAGTTCAATTAGCTGTAACTTGGCATGGAATTAATTTGAAGAATAAACTTTTCTCAAATCTATTCCAACTTAGGGTGTTTTTTTTTTTTTAAGATTTTAGTTTTAGAAAGAGGGGAAGGGAGGGAGAAAGAGAGGAAGAGAAACATCAATGTGTGGTTGCCCCTCGTGGGCCCCTTACCGGGGACCTGGTCCGCAACCCAGGCATGTGCCCTGACTGGGGATCAAACCCTCTGGTTTGGAGGCTGCCACTCCATGGAGCCACACCAGCCAGGGCCCAACTTAGTTTCTTAAAATGAACAGTCCCTAGTGGTACTTAATAAAATCACAGATTCACATACTCTTTGAAAAAAACTCAATTAACTAGAATCATTAATTAATTAGGATCACTTTGGATTCAAGTTCTACCTTGGAAAAGAAGGAAAATTACAAGAAAAATGCATGTCAAGATTAAAACACACACACAGAAGGCAAATCAGCTTCCATATCAACCTGCCTCATAATTCAGACATTCAATTTAATCTCTTTATACATCTAAAGCATCACTAAATTGCAATTGCACCTGTTTATAATGACAGCACTGAGCCCTGGCTGGTGTGGCTCAGTGGATTGAGCGCAGGCCTGAGAACCAGGGGACCACTGGTTTGATTCCCAGTCAGGGCATGTGCCTGGGTTTTGAGCCAGGTCCTCAATTGGGAGTGTGTGAGAGGCAACCACACACTGACATTTCTCTCCCTCTCTTTCTCCTTCCCTTTCTCTAAAAATAAATAAATAAATAAATTTTTTTGAAGTGACAGCACTGACCACCTATACCAAATATTCAGTTAAATTCATTAAAATTCTATAAATGCATACTGAGTGTGTTCTAGAACACCCGCATCTTCCTTGTGTGCATGTGGCTTTATCAAGGACAAGAAAGCATGTTCCAGGACAGGGCGGCAGGAGCCCTCACTGCACTCACCAGTCTCATGCCTACAGTAATGTTTCCTCATCCCCCAACTTTTTCTAGTTGTGTTAGTCATGGGGATGCCGGAGACACAGCACAGAACCCCTCTTTGTTTCTGTCCTGTGGGCTCTTGTGTTAAGTTTCAGAAAGCAGGCAAAGAAGATGCTGAATGGGACAACTTTTGGAGTTGCTTCATAAGAACCTTCTGGAAAATTCCTAAGCGGGCTGTTGGGAACAGGATGAAAAGCTGATGTTCCCTCAGCTGCCACAGCACAGCTCCCAGTGGGGCTACAACCAAAGTGCGCCCCCCCAAAGGAGGAACGTACCCGCAAATGGGAAGTGTAGAGAAACAGCGCTTTGCAGACCCTGCTCTCTCTCTCTTTGTCCGGCAGCTGCAGCACGGTGCACTTTTTCTGAACGTCAACGATCCACTGTTCGTATTTCTGTGTTCCAAAACGCCTATTTCGAATTCGAGATAAGCTTTCTGGAAAGAAAAAGTTTTCCGTTGCACCATAATGTCAGTCATTTAAGGTTGGTTCTAAGCATGTTGTACCCTCCAATTTCCTTTCCTACTCTCTGTGCACAGAACGGTCCTCCTGAAACAGCCCCGGCTCTGTGCACGGACTGGGGACAAAGGATGGGGAGACACAGCAGCCCTGTTCTCAAGAGGTTCAGTCTGTGAGTTGCTCGAGGAACAGTGCCCTGGGGCTTCTCAGGAACAGCACACTTCAGCAAAATTCACAGGCAAGAGCTGTATTTCTGGGTTGAAATGCTCCTCTTTTTAAATAAAAGGAACAAAGGAGGCTGCCCAGACAAGTGGCATTGACATGCTGCTCCTTCCTGCCCCAAATTCAAGGCCAGCAGTAAACTAAATGAATCAGCAAGCATTTACTGAACTTGGGCAGGCGTTAAAAAAAAAAGCTAAGTTGGGAACAGGAGGTAAATGGGAAATCTCTGTATATTCTGCTCAATTATTCTGTAAACCTAAAACTGCTCTGAAAAATAAAGTCTGTCAAAAAAATAAGCTAAGCAATCTGGAAACGAGAAGTTGACTGGTGAAAAGGTGGAGGTAGAGTATTAGAGGTGGAATGAGTAAGAAAGGAGAAATTCACGTCTCCCCACCCCTGCCACTGCCCCCCAGCCATTCAGACAGGTTACAATGTTCCTGATGGTATCATGGCCTCCTAAGTGTTCTCCCCACATCTCGCTGCATTGCCTCCCATCCATTCCTCAGTCAACAGTTAGAGGGACTTCCCAAAATGAAGATGAGAACCTATGCTACCCCACTGCTTCAGAGCCTTTATTAGATTCCTCCGGACAAACTCCCACCCTGGCTCACAGGGTCCTCAGTGATCCAGCCCAGCCAGCTTCCAATCCCCATCTCTAGACGGTCCCCTCCCTGCATTTTACAGGACTAATGTGAGACCCCACACTCCCCCTACTCTCCTGGCCTTCTACATGCTGTTCCCTCTGCTGGAAACATACCTATCCCCACCACCCACCCACTCCATCCCCTGTTGCTTTATTTTTATTACTTACTAATTTGGCTTTACTATAATACTGGAAATGCCATGAGGGCAGGGGCTGTGTCTCAGGGACCACATTGTAACCCCAATACCTAGCACACTGCCAACACTGAATGAGTGAACAAGTGAATGAACATGTTCAAGGAACGACTAAATCAAAGGAGTGGAAGGTGAAACTGGAAAGGTAAGTAGAACCAGATTGTGCAGGTGGGGCTCACACTGTCAAATTAGAGACTTAGAGGGCTCTGCCTGCACGGCAAAGGGATTCAGGCAGGACACTGACATGGTAACACTGATCCTTCAGGAGACTAATCAGGCAATGGGGAGGGCATGTTGGGATGGATGGAAAAGAGAGTGAAAGTGGGCAAACCAGTTAGAAGGCTATCAGAATGTCTTAGATCAAGCCGTAAAAGAAAAGGAAAGAAGTGCAAAATAAGTGTGAGAGAAGGCGCGACACCATGAGACATCTTGCAGACACCAGAAATTCAGTACAGTCGTCCCTCGCTATATTGCAGTTCACCTATTGTGGCTTCATTGTATCAAGGTTTTTTTAAAAAAGATATCTAATTCTGTATCACGGAGCTTTCGCTATATCCCAGGACTTTATATACTTCACTGGTGAGTACCCATATAGAATTTTATATGTTGTTAAAATCACGTAGGTTTAAGAGTGTAGAAAGTGTTAGAGAGCATATGAAGTATTTACGAGAGTGTGGGAAAGGTTAATAAGAGAGTGGGAAAGGTTTATAGGAGTGTGGGAAGGGTTTATAAAGCCTTAAAATATATATAAATAATAAACTAAATATAACGCCGCTACTTCGTGGATTTTCACCTATCGCGGGGGTCTCTGGAACGTAACTCCCGAGATGAGTGAGGGATCACTGTATTTGCAAAACTCTCAATTCACCTTGTACCTGCCAAAGCGGCTCCTAGTTCTGGAGAACCAGTACCACCCACTGGCGTACATGCAGCTGCCCAAGCGAGAGCCCGGGGCAAGTCTTCCACTCCCTTTCCTCCCTCGCCCCTACCCAATCCCAGTCCGCCATTAAACCTGAACACTTCCTGTGTGCAGCACCTCGCACGGTCCTTCTCCCTTCACCAACCCACCTCAACCACCTCTGGCCCTCTTCCTTCACGGCTGTCCTTGTCACATCACTAATCAGTTTGAAATCTTCAGCTGCTGCCCATTGCTTTTAGGATAAAATTCAGACTCAGCTGGGCCTACCAGGCCCTTCCCTGTCTGCCCCCGGCCACTCCCTTTAGTCTCACCCCTTTCTACCACTCACATGTTCAATTACCATGAAGTGCTTGCAGTTCCTAAAAGTCACTGTGCTCTCTCTTCCCTCTATGCCTAATGCCTCTTAGACCTTACTTAATCATCTCTCCTTTACTTCGTTGACTTCAAGATCATCCTGGGAAGCCTTCCCTACAGCCCCGCCCCGCCCCTGTGTGCCCCCATAGTGCCCCCTGTGGGACTCTGCCCTGTCCCATGGAAGCTACTCACATCTGACTCTCATTGAGTGACTGTCAGCTCCCTGAGGGCCTTGAACCTTGCCATTCCCATCACCTAGCACACCTGACACAGTAAATCTCTGGTGAATGAGTGTATGGATAAAAAGAACAGAATGTGATGATTTCATGAGAGCCTCAAAAGAGGAAAGGTCAAAGATCACTTCTAGGTCTGAATGAGCCATCACAGGGAATGGTGGTTTCATTCATATAAAAGGGAAGTCAGGATAGAAAGCTAATTTGGAAGGTCAGAAAAAGCAATAAATTGCCTTAATATAATATTTTTCAGCTGTCTGTCCTATATTTACTTTGGATTTGGAAAGAAAAACAAAGGCAAGACAAAATAAAGAAGGACTTAGAAGGTTCTAGAATAACCTATAATCAAGAAACTCAACCTCTGGGTTGTTTTTTTTTTATCAACCTATGGTTGTGATGGTGGCATAGGCAGACATGGCTCACTTCTTCGCACAATCATATGAAAATTACAACTAAAATACGAAACAATCATCACCCAGAACCATCAGAAATCGAGTTGCATGGAAATCTGACAACTACAGAATTAAGAAATCACATCGATCCAGAATGAGCCAGCAAGCTGATGCCATATCCGAGACTCCATCAACCTGGCTAACACTATTTGACCCACCTTGGAGATCCCTAGAGATTCTACTGCACCTAACTTACAAGCCCAACTAAGCTGCTTTTCCATATGAATGGCTGGTCTTGGGCCATGCTTCACAACTACCTAAATCCTATCAAACAAGCAACAGCTGGCCACAGTGAGTTCCAGGCCCAGCACTAGCAGCAGCCAGCTTAGATTCACAGCTTAGCTTCACCTGGGAATCTCCAAACCCAAGCCCAGCACAAATAGCAGCCATCTTAGATTGCTTTTTTGCTCAGGCAGGGTGGCCCTGGACAAAACACAGGAGGAGGCTGACCCTGGCTTGCACTACCTGGGAACCGCTCACCACACACACCCAGTGGACAGCTACAGACCATGTCAGAGCACCACCACCCTGCCCCCGCACAGCTGATCCTCTATGGAGGGTGGAGGTTGGTGGTAAGTGGTCACAGCCAATCCTCGCAGCTGACTGGCCTGGGTAAATCCCTCCCATTGATCTGCAACAGCAACCAAGGCACAACTACAAGAGGAGGGTGTACTCAGACCACAGGAAGGGCGCACCTCAAGTACCCAGCTTGGGTCATAGGGCAGGCTGTGCCACTGGACCCTACAGGACACCTACTACATTAGGCCACACTACCAAGACAGGAAATCATGGCAGCTCTAACTAATACATAGAAACAAACACAGGGAGGCTGCCAAAATGAGGAGACAATGAAATATGGCCCAAATGGAAGAACAGATCAAAACTCTAGAAAAAGAGCTAAACAAAGTAGAGATAAGCAATCTATCAGATGCAGAGTTCACATCACTGGTTATAAGGATGCTCAAGGAACTCAGTGAGGACCTCAGCAGCATTAAAAAATAGATCCAATCAGAAGCAAAGCATACAGTAACTGAAATAAATAATAATTTACAGCCTTGGCTGGCATAGCTCAGTGGATTGAGCGTGGGCTGCGAACCAAAGCATTGTAGGTTCAATTCCCAGTCAGGGCACATGCCTGGGCTGCAGGCCACGGCCCCCAGCTACCGCACATTGATGCGGTCTCTCTCTTTCTCCCTCCCTTCCCTCTCTAAAAATAAATAAATAAAATTTTAAAAAAAGAATAATTTACAGGGAAACAGCAGTAGAGTGGATGAAACCAAGATTCAGATCAATGATATGGAATATAAGGAAGCAAAAAACCACCAATCAGAACAACAAGAAGAAAAAAGAATCCTAAAATATGAGGATAATGTTAAGCAGCCTCTGGGACAACTTCAAGAAGTCCAACATTTGCATTATAGGGGTTCCAGAAGGAGAAGAGAAAGTGCAAGAAATTGGAAATCTATTTGAAAAAATAATGAAAGAAAACGTCCTTAATTTGGTGAAGAAATAGATACGCAAGTCCAGGAAGCACAGAGAGTACCAAACAAGATGGATGCAAAGAGGCCCGCTCCAAGACACATCATAATTAAAATGCTAAAAGATAAAGATAAAGAATCTTAAAAGTAGCAAGAGAAAAGAAGTTAGTTATTTACAGGGGAGTTCCCATAAGACTGTCAGCTGATCTCTCAAAAGAAACTTTGCATGCTTAAAGAGATCGGCAAAAAATATTCAGCTATGAAAAGTAGGTACCTACAGTCAAGATTGCTCTACCCAGCAAAGCTATCATAAAGAGCTTCCCAGACAAGAAAAACCTAAAGGAGTTCTTCATCACCAAACCATTATTATTTGAAACGTTAAAGGGACTTATTTAATAAAAAGAAGATCAAAACTATGAACAATAAAATGGCAAAAAATACAAATCGATCAACAATTGAATTTAAAAAACAAAGAAAAGAAGAACAGAGACAGAATCATGGCTAGAGAGAGCATTTTAACGGTTGTGAGATGGTAGGAGGCTGTGGGAATGGGTGAAGAGGGAAAGGGATTAAAAAGTACAAATAGGTAGTTACAGAATAGCCATGGGGATATAAAGTACAGCGTAGGAAATGGAGTAGTCAAAGAAGTTATATGTGTGTCCCATGAACATGAACAATGGTGTGGGGATAGTCTGAAGGAGTGAGTAGTGCTCAGTGGAGGGGGTGAAGAGGGAAAAATCAGGACAACTGTACTAGCATAATTAATAAAATACGTACATTTTTTTAAAAGTGAACCTCTTGAAATTGTCTGAACTAAGGAGAATGCAAACAAATGATAGTGAACAATTCATGGCTATTCCAAAAAGGAGAGGACACAAAACAAGATTTATCTTACCGAGGCTTATGGTACCGAGTTCATCAAAGACACTCTTTACCAGACTCTCTGTCTTTTTCATCAGCTGAGAGATGATATATTCAAATCTGTTGGTGCTCCGTGATTCTACTTTCCTGAACACTAGAACCATCAAAGGAAAGTGACTATGTTTCAGGAAGTATACATGAGAGTTTAAAGTAGGCATCTCCAAACCTTTCTCTACTTTTGTTATATCCTCTGTAAAACCTGAGGCCCCAAGTTCACAGACAGCTCACTTAGATGATTTAAAAAATTCTCCCCAAACCTTGCAACAGCTCTCTCATGCTTAATGCACTTCTCCAACATATCTGCTATGCTCTGGGTCTAATTCACCTTCTTACTCTGGCTCTCCTGTTTCTCAGCACAGAGCCCCTGCTCCAGTGAGGCTGGTATCCATCTTATCTCTGCAAATGCCACACTTTTTGCCTGTCTCTGTTCTTTGATCCTTTCCCATCCAACCCTCAGGAGTGTTCATACTGTTCCTAACATTCATTATTGCATCGTTTCAGCAGAAATTTATTAATTGCCCACCACGTGCCATGTTCTGGTAATAGAGAGTTGAAAAGAACACACTGCATGCTCCAGGGAGGTCTGTGTTCTCAGGGGAGAGGAAGTAGCCAATAAACACAGTAGAGTGCTTCAAGGTAAGTATACGCAAATGTCCTGGGGCACGGGGAAAGGGCTCCAAGAGCTTTCAAAGGAGGCAGTGTTGTGGGATAAGCAGGGGAAGAGGAAAGGAGAAAGCAAACACAGTCGTGTACAACGTATAGCATGGACAAAAGTCACAGAAAGCATCTGACACACCTGAGGGACCCACAGGAACATGACATGATTGGGCTTATGGGGGCTGGGAGGGGATGAAGCTCAGAGGGCAGGGGCCACCGGATTATAAATAAATGTGTCCTTGATTCCAAAAAGTTTAGACTGTGTACCTTCTCTAAACCCCCCACAGGCAGCTCCCAGAAAGAAATGTAACTGCCCCCTCCCTGGCTATGTCATGTGTGTTTGCTCTGCTGTCAACAGTCACAGGCCATTCGGAGAGCAAGGGTGAAGCCATGTGTGTCTCATCCCCCTTTCGCCCTTGCCGAATGAGTACAGCATTGGTATCCAATAAACATGCCCTAGTCCATCTCATATAAAATCACATTCTGATCTTTTGAGGTAAGGTATGATGAGTTCAGATCATTTCAACCAAAATTTTCAGATAAATATTGAAATAATGAATGACCACACCATTTCCCCTTCAAGCGTGGAACCCTGGGAAGGCCTGAGCCCGACGTGAAGATTTACATGCTTAGATATTCCCATCCCCTCTCTCTCTCACTGCTAGTATCTTTATAAGACTTTTATAGAACTGGAGAGTAAGGCTGTTTGCTTTCTATAGGCCATTCCTGAGCTTCATCCATTGCTTGAGGAGAAAGCTCAGTTGAGGAGAAAGGCCAGAAACGAGACTATTTCCCAAGTTTGGGGTTCAATACACCCTACTAAACAGAGAAAGGGTAAACATTTAGTGTTCATCCAAACAGCTCTGAACTAGAAATATTAGAAGGTAAGAAAGTCCCAAAGGGCTGGTTACTGGATCCCACTTACACTTATGGGGCTTATATACAACTTCCTCCAGTTCCTCCAGGTTGTCCTTGACTGTTGCTAGCACTGATGTGTCCAGAGAAGCACACAGCTTGCAGATATACTCCATGGCTTCCCTTGTGTTCTTGGCATCCCCAACGCCAACTGAGGCGGTCAGCCCAATGACCTGTGAAGAGCATGCCAGATAGTCAGATGTCTGGGGAAAGTATGACATTTCCACAACCCCCCACGTAACCCTCTCCTGCTAAAGTAGGCTTTTCCCCTAACTTCAGACAAAGAACAAGAACATTTTTTCCCTGAAATTCTCTATAATGTTGCAAATGGAAAGGTTCTCATTAAGCAAAGCACTGAATAAATGCAGAAGTCACAACTCATCAGCTGAACATAAATCAACACAGAAACAAAGAAAGGAAACCCTTGCAAGGCAGGGCTTCTCTCTGCTTTACCCTTGGATCCCCCACGACCTGTAGAAGAACATAAGGAGAAGGAAAAGGACTGAAATCAGACAAACTTCCATTCAGATCTCAGGCATGCTTCATGGGCTGCAAATATCTACTGCTCTCCAGATAATGTTAGCAACTGCTAGGTAACAATTGCAATTGAAAATGGTAGCTGGGTGAATTTAGCAAGAAAACATTTGTAAAGAATTTAGCTTAATGGTCACCTAATATTTATTTCTTTCTCTAATAGCCACTCAATAAATAATTGAATAACTGACTCATTAACAAGGAATCTAGTTAACTACCATACTTTTTTTCTGGATGAAAAAGCCGTAAGAAATGTGACTGCTACTGAATGTTGTCTATGAGCACCATACTGAATTTCTTCTCACTTGTGTTTCCTGAACAAGTGATTATTAGGGCTGGAGAACTTCACACAGTGTGAGATCAGTGTACTATAAATCCATGGTTTCCAACTTCACTTGAGCCCCAATGTGACACAGTCAGTTCTTCTGTGCATGAGTTATCTGCCTTCCGTTTCAAATCCGCTCTATGTGCCCTGAGCCCCCTCCCCCATTCCCATCTGATTATACTCAGCAAATGATCCATCTGCCTGTCTTACCTTCAAGAGGAAGGAGGGTTATATGCCAGTTTCCCTACCTTTCCTGCTCCCATCTAAGAACTACTCTCTGTCTTGACTCTTCTCACACTCTCCCCTCTGACAACACCAAAAATAGCAAAAATGGTTTTCCATCTGGTCCCCCAAACTAATCCATCTGCATGCCTACTTATTACAAACCTCCGGTCGCTGCTGGCATATTGTTCTATCAATCATTCCCTCTCTCATCCTGCCTCACCTACTGCCATTCACTGCTTCACACTGTACACTCAAGGATTTGTGACTGCACCATGTACATTTCGGGATTCGTGAATGCACCACGTTCTTCCACAGCTCTGAGCCTCTGGACACACAGTAGCCTTTACCAAATACCACCCGGCTACCAACCTGGTAAACTCTCTTCGGTTTTTGCCTAACCTTACTTCTGTTAGGTTGTGCCTTATTGTCATAGCACACTTAGGAATTCTTCTACCTCTGTTCTGATTGAACCATGTACATGTCTCCATAGTGTGCCATCATGATAAATTATGACATAATTCTTACATATTTGGCTCCCCACAAAACTCCAGCTGTTTGAGGGCAAGAACTATGTCTTTTTATATTTGTACCCCCACTGCTTTGCACAGAGCGTGGAGGCACCCGATACATATATGTTGAGTTGATAAATGAATCAAAATTAACCAAGGAGTTATACAATATGCACTTAGGACCTGAGAAGGACATCCTCACTGTGGCCACAAGAGTAAGCTGACAGGATTTAGGAAAGTCACAGCTCTTATGAGAAATCCATCTGACTTTGCAGATACCTGGGGCAGTGGGTCTGAAGATCCTCCAAGTTTCTGATCTAGATAACTGAACATGATCATATTGTAAGGATGGCGCTTATTGGTATTGTGGCATTCATCAAATATCATCAAAGTGAAGACAGAGAGTGATGGGATAGTCCCCTCTTTAAGGCTGTTCACAAGAATCTGTGGAGTTAAAATGATGATGTCACTGTCCTCAATAATCTGTTCCACTGAGATATTCTCAAATGTTAATCCAGATATGCCTGAAACTCTGTACCTGGAAAATGACAGAAGTTGCCTGTTACCAACCACAATGTGAATCAGGAACCACAAAGACATGAAACACTAGATCAGAACACAGATTAAGTTCTCCTTAAGTCTAAAAGGAGACAAGTGCTTAGCAGTCTTACACACAGTAAGTGATCAATAAATGCAAGCTAGTTAAAACTGCTAAGAGTATTTATTAAGTCTTTCAAGCCACCAAACAAAGGAAACAGTAAAGAGTAATAGTAAAGTTATAAAATCATTAAGAAGTTAAATGTGCCATTTAACGTAAAATTTATCTCTTAAGCCATTTACTTATTCTGCAAGAGTTAACCAAAGGAGTTTAGGATTTCAGGTATAGATAACAAAACAGACTTCAATCCATGAAGGAATTACATCTAGATTATATAAAATCTGAATCTACTGTAAATTTTTTGAATCGTGGTTTTCCAAAAACAAAACAAAGCAGAAAGCACACCAGTTACATAAAGTTAGAGAAAAATAAGTTGGAGCAACTGTTATACCTACCCAAGTCTTTCAAAATAGTTTAAGAACACAGATTTTTGCTGTTCATACACTGGGAGTTGATTAGCAAAAAACACAACCTTCCCCTTTTGTCCTTGTGGAAATTTTTTAAGATGATGTTCACATATAAGAAGTGCAACAAAGGTTTTTCCACAACCTTTTAACATATAAAGAAAAAGAAAACATGTAACTAATATAATACTGTAGCAAGGTGTAGAGCAAGAGGTCCCCCCAAGACCCCCTTAGCCCTTAGTTGGGGGTGTGGGGGAGCTGATAACTGGCAGTTAGGATACCTTTCATAGCAATGGCAAGCTGAAAGCCAGCTAATAGCTGTGCTACCACCCTGGGGCAAAAAGTGTGTGCCTGACTTTCAGAATGCATGGTGACTGGTGACATAGCCCAGGGTTTGTACAGTGCCTGCACAGGAGGCAGGGAGGCAGTTCCTCCTGCATCACTGAGTCACTCTCGCCCCGACTAAAGGTGGCAGCCAAGAGAATGTAAACAATACAGAAAACTGGCAAATGTAGCTCACTGTGGGAGGAGCCACATAGGGGGTCAGGTAGGAAGCTCGGTCAGGATTTAAACTCAGGGCAGACAGAAGGAGGTGGGTCTGCCATGAGGGCAGAGAGAGAGATTCTGCCATGCTGCCAGCAGTGAGATCCAAGCCACGCAGGCTGTAGGAGCTGGTCAGCCGTTGGAGGAATGATGTAGCAGCCGTGTGAGAGGAAGCCATGAGCAGGCAGCTGTGCAGCCTGTAGTAAGGGAGGGATTCGGTCATGTAGCCTGGGCTAGTAAGAAGGCAGATTGCCGCTGCTCTGATCGTGCCCACTCTAGCTGACTCCAAAGCCACCAAGGACCCTGCCTTGCAAGACGCTGACCTATTGCCTTGCAGACCCGGACCCTATATGGACTCTTGGGACTTCTGCCTTTCCTGGACTCCTCCATGATCCAGTGCAACACAGCACATGCTTTCCTGGACTATGACACGGAGGCTGATGATGATGTACCCCAGGTCCTGAAGGAGAGAGCTGCTGCAAGAGGATGGTGACTTTGAGACCCACAAGCGTTCTTTCCAGAGGAGATGGAGGACTGTGTGTGCAGCCAGCTTACGATAAGGAGATGGGGAACGACTGGGCTTGGTTCTGGCGTACAGCCTGGTCAGGAGCCAGGGAAGTGCTGGGTCTCATGGGAGAATGGGGCTCTGAGGAGAAGTGCTCTCAGCCCCTCAAGGTTGGTAAATAAAAACCTGTTTCTCCCAATACTAGTTGTTGGGTCACACAGCAAGGCACCACGTAGTGCCCCTGTTTGCTCGGTTACAATACCAAAATATTTCTATGGAAAAGTAATTCTTTTTAGCTCTCCTAAAACCACTGCTAGACTAGTAAATTGGTAATGTGGATGGGTTAACAATGGCAAAATTTACACCATGACTAAAAAATGTCAAGCTGCTTCCTAGGGAATATGTACTCAGGGTCTGATGCAAGCTAAAAGATGGCATTTTTTTTTCGCTCGTGTTCTTTAAAATACCTTAAGACTATATCAATAGGATGGTTTCTCAAAAGACGAATGGGACAGCGGACAAACTAAAACATGCCCATTTCACCCCAGCATGTAGTAAAAGGGAAAAAAGGAAAGCAAACAGAGGAACAGACCACAGGAGTAATGGCAATCACCTTACCGGTGGGAGCACATATTATTGTGTTTTTTCCGTGTATAGCAGGAGAAGCCAGCTCTAGTTGGTAATGTCTTGGCTTCAGAGGGCTGTGAGCAAGAGGCACTTCTGAAACACAAAAGGAACAAAATTACCAAACAGCTACTGCTCTGAGGAACCGGGGCAACAGCTATCTACTATCAAATAGACAGGAATTCTGGCTCCAGCCAGAAGGTCCTCATGTAAGAAATGTATGTTTCTTGTTAATCATTCCACTTCTTGTTAATCATTCCAGCTTCTCCACTGACTCTCTTTCAATGGCAAAGTGCTGATGGCAAGAAGGCAAGAAAAAGAAAATTAAATTTAAAAAATGAATGGCTTCATTCAGGGTGAGACAGATGGCCTCCAGTCACAGGAAATGCTACATGGAACAAAACAGCAATGAATGCCTCCAAGATCTTTGAAAAACACTTGCACTGTAAATACCGAATTCCCAAAGCAATCTCTTATTGAAGAGCAATCATGCTTTGTAATTCCACAGGCTCACACATGGTATTTTCCTCTCAACAGAACCAGACATTTTAAAAAACAATCAGAGGCTTTATCTCACTAACAAGATTAAGCATACAGAATGTTAAGAGCCACAAATACCTTGAAAATCATCATTTGAGTCCAATCTATCCATTTTAAAGAAAAAGAGAATTTCTAAAAGGTTAAGAGAGTTCACCAAGGACTCTTACATGTTGGAAAAGCTTAAAGCAACTTATAATCATTGATTTTATTCTGGAATGACAAAAAATTTGTATCATCCGCTTGTAGAAGTAATCTATAAATTTGGTTCTTGTGGTGTTATCAGCAAATCACATTTTCTAATACTACTCCTTGTGAATCATAATTTCTTCCCTGATGCCCTTTAGTAAATAACTTTTTATGATGGCTTATTACATAACTTTCTGGTCTCCTCATGAAAATGTGCTCCCAGAACCGTAACATGGGCATTATCCGGCCACAGCTAACTCATCCAGTGCCTTTGTATGAGTCAGTCAAAGCGCCCTGTGGGGGACCGAGCCCCTCAATGCACTGTTTGACGAGCAGCACAGGCTGGATCTCACTCCCCGCCCCACCGCTCAGCCCAGCACACACGTGCTGCGCACACACTTCACCCACTTACACCGCAGCCCTGGGGTCACAAAAGGAAACTGACCAAGGGACTCTCAAATGGAAGTATTTCTTTGGAAGGCAGGGCTGATTTTGAATCCTGTCTATGAAAGCAGGATTTTATAGACATTGAGTTTCTGGGAAAACTATTTACATTTTAAATGTACACAGGCCTATACTTTCTTAGTGATAAAAGAAGACCAACAACAAGATAAAAGAGGAATAAGAAGGGGACAATAGCTATGGAGGGAGGAGAGTGACATTGCTCGTCACAGAAAAAAGTAATATTATAATGTAAATTCTCTTTTTCTTTCTTCCTTTCCCTTAAGAACCTTTCCACAGGGCTGTGACTTTCAGCACTGAGAACGTGTCCCCACACAAAATATTCGAAGAGCACCACTGTGGAAGAGAAAAAACAGTGCTGGGTACCTGAAGGTGGGCATGAATTCTGACTAAGATTCTGGTGTTCCGGTTCTTCCTTGTAGAAAATCTGCACCTCGGAAGTTTCTGCTTCCTCATCCTCAAGATCTTTCGTTTTCTCTTGCGCACCTTGATAAGATCAAACCACATCTTAGAACCTTGATAGAACCTGATTCTAGTGTGAAAGCCTTACAATGAGCTTCTAACATAAAATTTTCAAAGTTTGGCTTGTAACAAAACCTTTGTGAGTTCCTATCTCAGTTTGGAGTTTGAACGCCAACGTTATTTCGGACTTTCTCATTCAAAGTGAGGAACACAGAGCAGGAATTTCCAGAGCGTGTTAGCAATGCAGACTCTTGGGCCCCCACGGAATCAGAACCTGCCTTCGAGCAAGATCCCCAGGTGACTGGCAGGCACACTAGGAAGAGCAGCATGATTTAGCAGTTACTCATGTCCTCCATTCCCGGCCCAACCCAAGAAATCGGAAATCAGATGTGTATTTATACAGACAATTTCTGGAACAACTTGTGATCCAAAGAAGCCTGGGAAAAGTAAGACCCTCAGAGGGTTTACCAAACTCAGCCTTTAAAACAGTGCTGTGAGGTTGGCTTCAGGAAGCCAAGTGATGGCTCAATTACTTAATCCCATTTCCCAATAGGTTCTTTTTTTCCAATCCTGTTCTGGTTCGGTTCCAGATGGCTTCCAGGCAGAGAACCAAGCTATGTCTGTCTTCAGTCTACTGTGAAAAATGGGTGAGTCCTTTTTCGCCTTTTTAACTCTAGAATTTGTGAGCTATTTCTCCAATAATCTAAACCCAGACAGTGAGCTCAGATTCTGCCTTCCCCAAATCCTCTGGACCACATGGGCTAATGGTGGTGAGAATGGTTTGCCTACCTTTCTCTGTAATCCACAGTTCTCTGAAATTGCTCTCTTCTTTCTCCAAAGCAAGTGTCAGAGATTTGGGCCAGTTCTCCTTGTCGGATCTGAGAAGGCACTCAACCATTTTCTCTGCACCTGCCATTGGCCCCTTGTTGGAACAAATCTAAGCAAGACAATTATAGTTGATTGATCAAGTGTTTCAAAGTTTTCCTTTTATGAGTTTTTATTGAAGAAACATTTCAAGTGCTATCATGGTACACTATGGTTCAACAGATCTTATTTGTGACCATTTTTGCTCCATCCAATACAATCTTTTCTTTAAAGATTTTATTTATTTATTTTTTAGAGAGAGGAAGAGAAACATCAATGTGAGAGAGAAACACTATACACACCTCAACCAGGGACCAAACCTGTAACCCAGGCATGTGCCCTGACCAGGAATGGAACCAGTGACCTTTCACTTTGTGAAAGGATGATCAACCAACTGAGCCACACCAGTCAGGGCCCTCCAACACAATCTTTTAAGATACCCTGTTCTTTGCCCTTGTCCTCCACATATTATATTACTATGTCAAGCCAAGCCAATCATTATCAGCAGCATTAGGAAAACAACCCACTTAATAGCTATTCAAGAGATGGGTGTATTGACATAGATTTTTGGAAGGATAAAACCAAATATTAATGAATTTTTTTTCAGGGTAGTGAGACTCACATGACTATTATTAATCATAATAAGCAAAATTTATTGAGCACTTATTATCATGTATCAAGCATATGTTAGCACTTTACATATATTATCTTAATCTTTATAAAAATATAGTAATGAGGTACTATAACTATTTCCATATTATACGTGAATAAACAGGGGCTCAGAGAAACTACGTAGCTTGCCTGAGATCACACCACTAGTAAGTGGCTGAGCCAGGATTCTAACCAAATGTATTTGAGTCCACAGCCTGAACACTTAACCAGTTGAGTCTACGGCTTTTTTCTTTTTATTTGCTGAACTGTTTGCTTGTATTTAAATTTGCGTAGAACATTATTTACAAATAATATAATTTTAACTGAACATAGGACAAAGCTGAAAAAAAAAACTTGTGACATAAAAATTACTCAGTTTGAGACAGGATAGTAAGAAGCTAGGAAAATTCCTGGGCAAGTGGAATGGAGAAACCAAGACGAGAAAATTAAACAAAGCCACCTCAAGACCTTGTCCTCCTAACCAGAGAATACATAACCTCCCTGGTCATAAACCAGTCCTCTGGGAAGAGAAGAAGAGGAATTCTAACGCAAAGAGAGGTAACACCTGAACAAAGGAACCAACTTAGGAAGAGGCTGCAGGTTTCCCTTTCAGCTCCCCCTCCCAAGAGAAACTGCACCTCTACAGTCCCCCTAGGAATTTCCCCCTCCGAAATTCCTATATTTCCCTTAGATAAACTTGCTCTTGAAAGCTCCAGGAAGGCCTGGATGTTAGGGTTTTAACCAGCCACATTCTGACTGCTAGCTTCTGATGTTAATAAAAGTGTCCTTATAATCCAATCCCTGTCTCTGCTTTGTGGTGACAGACAGCACAAGCTCTGGACTCGGTTGCCCCTGGTTTCAAGTTCACAATTAAATGTATTATTCTCGACTTCCAGCAAAGATGGAGGCATAGGTAGACACACTGTGCCTCCTCGCACAACAAAAACAAGGACAACCAATTTAAAAACAACAAAAAAAACCCCGAACTGACAGAAAATTGAACTGTATGGAAGTCCAACAACCAAGGAGTTAAAGAAGAAACATTCATTCAGACCAGTAGAAGGGGCGGACGGTGACAGGCAGCCGGGTACAGAGGATTCACTGCAAGGTAGCAGCTGGCAGACTGAGCAGTCCCACATTTGAGTGCAGATAAACTGGAAGGAACAACTGGGGAGCAAAACAGGGTTCCAGTGCAGGGAAATAAAGCCTCAAAGCCTCTGACTGAAAACACCTGTGGGGGTTCAGACGCAGCAGGAGAAACTCCCAGCCTCACAGGAGAGTTCATTGGAGAGATCCACGGGGTCCCAGAATGTACACAAGCCAACCCACTGGGAATCAGCACCAGCAGGGCCCAATTTGATTGTGGGCAGCTGAGGAAGTGACTGAAAGCTGGTGGAGAGCTGAATAAGAAGCATTGTTCCCTCTTAAACCCCTCCCCCATATACAGCATCACAATGTAGTGCTGTGGGTTGCCCTGCCCTGGTGAACACCTAAGGTTCTGCCCCCTACTATGTAACAGGAGTGCCAAGACAAAAAAAAAGATGGTCCAAATGAAAGAACAGATTAAAGCTCCAGAAAAAATACAACTAAGCAATGAAGAGATAGCCAAACTATCAGATACACAGTTCAAACACTGGTTATCAGGATGCTCCAGGAACTCACTGGGTACTTCAACAGCATAAAAAAGACTCAGGCAACAAGGAAGGTCGCATTACGTGAAATAAAGAAACATCTACAGGGAACCAACAGTGATAGGAAGGAAACCGGGACTCAAATAAACAGTTTGGAGCAGAAGGAAGAAAGAAACATTCAACCAAAACAGAATGAAGAAACAAGAACTAAAAAAAAATGAGGATCTTAGGAACCTGCAGGACATCTTTAAACATTCCAATATCCGAGTCATAGGGGTGCCAAAAAGAGAAGAGGAAGACCAAGAAATTGAAAAATTATTTGAACAAATAATGAAGAAGAATTTCCCTAATCTGGCAAAGGAAAGAAGAGACTTCCAGGAAGTCCAGGAAGCTCAGAGAGTCCCAAGAAGTTGGACCCAAGGAGGTATACACCAACGTACATCATAATTACATTACCCAAGATTAAAGATAAGGAGAGAATCTTAAAAGCAGCAAGAGAAAAGGAGAGTTACCTACAAAGGAGTTCCCAAAAGAAACCTTACAGGCAAAAGGGACTGGAAAGAAGTATTCCAAGTCATGAAAGGCAAAAACCTATATCCAAGATTACTCTATCCAGCAAAGTTATCATTTATAATAGAAGGACAGATAAAGTGCTTCCCAGATAAGGTCAAGTTAAAGGAGTTCATCATCAACCAGCCCTTATATGAAATGTTAAAGGGACTTATCTAAGAAAAAGAAGATAAAAAACATGAACACTAAAATGACAACAAACTCACATCTATTAACAACTGAACTTAAAAAAAAAACAAACTAAGCAAACAACTACAACAGGAAGAGAATCACAGAAATGGAGATCACATGGAGGGTTATCAGCAGAGGAGTGGGAGGGGGAGAGAGGGGAAAAAGGTACAGAGAATAAGTAGCATAAATGGTAGGTAGAAATAAACAGGGGGAGGGTAAGAATAGTATAGGAAATGTAGAAGCAAAAGAACTTATATGTACAACTCATGGACATGAACTAAAGTGGGGAAATGCAGGTGGGAGGGGGCGTGCAGGGTGGAGGGGAATAAAGGGAGGAAAATGGGACAACGGTAATGGCATAATCAATAAAATATATTTTAAAAAGAAAAATAAATAAATGTATTATTCTAGGTAATTATACCATAGATTTGAGGACTTTTGTGGATGTCAATGATCTTTCTTAGCTCTAAAACAGTATAGAAAACAGAAAATATTTTCCATGTTCAAATTATTTCCCCTAAATTCAGAATTTTATTTTAATTAAATTACCTGTATAATTTCTTCACATTCCTGATTGATTAAGCATTTAGATATTTCAGGAAGAATATCATTTGGGTTAATTCTGGTTTTAAATTCTGGTTGCAAACGCCTTAATAGCAATCTATATTCCTCCAACTTTTCAATTTTTTGGAAATCCCAACTTTCAATAGCTTCATAAAGTCCAGAATAACCTGGGGGAAAAAAAAAGAATTAACTGTTTTTATGAGACCAACTTAAAAATTGTGGGGTCACTACATGGCCCTTCCCCCTCCCATAACTGAGGGCTGGTCAGGTGGCCACTGGCCAGCAGGGATGTGCATTGTTTTGGAAATGGATTGTAACTTCCTCCTTATAAACTTTTCAGAGTGCCTTCCTGTCCTGTGACTGCTTCCTGACCTTTCCTTTATACTGAGGTAATGTAACTTAGAGTCACGTGTAGGACACGTGCCTCCTTCGTCTGGGACCCCTTAAGACAAGTCTCAGACACAAGGGGGTGCAGGCTCTCTTGCACCCACTGGCTGCGATCAGTGCGCCCCCTGTGACGTAATAAGCAGCAGGCATGTTCACATCTGCTAGTCCACTGGGTGGGGTTTGCTTTTTTTTTTTTTGAATATCAAGAGCACTGAAGCAGCTCCCTGGTTTGAAGGCTCTCTGTTCTATCTCACTGGTCAGCTGTCAGTTCTAAAGCCAGAGTTACACTGTCTTGATGCCTATGGCTTTACAATAAATCTGATATCGAGCAGAGAAAACCCAGCCTACTTAATTCTTCTTCAGGGAATTCCTGACTATTCTAGGATCTTAGTTCTTCCATATAGATTTTAGAATCACCCTGTCAAACTCATGAAAAAGCATGTAGGATTTTTATCAATACAATACAACTTTTATTCCATACAATAGAACTGTATTGAATATATGGATCAATGTAGGGGGAGAGGGCATTTTTATGGTATCAAGTCTTTCTTTCCATGTGTATATCTCCACTTAGGTAGGACTTCTTTAGTATATTTCAATAATATTTTATCATATTTCCATCAGACTTTACACATCTTTTGCTAGGTTTATTCCTAAACACATGCTAACTTTTGGTACTGTTATAAATGATACATCATTTTAGTTTAGATTTTCTGTTTGCTTCCAATGGGTGAAAATGCAACTAACTTTTGTATACTGATCTTGTACCCAATAAACTTGCTAAACTCTCCCATTAGTTATAATACCCTGTATATTCCTTTGGATATTTCAGGTAGATAATTACATTTTTTTTGCCTGAAAATAGTCTTTACCCTGCCTCAGATTAAAAGACATGAGCTCTACATGGATACCTCAAAATTAACAGCAATTCGCTTTTGCAGAATTCTGAAACAGTCAGGCGACATACTCCGATTTGTGAGTAAAAAGAATGAACTGACCTGCGTGGTGAAGAGCATCCAGAAAGGCACGGAACCAGCCTTCCTCCTGCAGCTCCAGGAGGAACTTGAGAAAAAGCGAGGCAGCCTCCATCACGCCCTTGTTGCTTTTCTCGGCCTGAATATACTGCATCTCATCTACAGACAGAAGCAAGAGTGACCCATCAACTGTAGAACCACTAATCGCTGGAGGAAAAACCTGAGAAAGGCTGTCGACCACTCTCAAATGGGGATGGAAACTAACGAATCACAGCAATAGAAGGAACTGCAAGCAGACAGCAAATTCTCTGCCCAGTCTTCACCAACCCACCCTCCTGTCCTCTCTGAAAATTCTCCTGGTTTGCTAGGGAAGTCTGGGAGCACACTCTAGGGCAGTCTTAAAGAAAAGGGGAGGGAAGATGGCAAGGCAGGTAAATGTGTGCTCAGCTCCTCCCACGACCACATCAAAATTACAGCTGAAATACAGAACCACCATCCCTGAGAACCGCCTGAAGTCTAGCTGAAGAAAAGTCCTCTAGCCAAGGGTATATAGAAGAAGCCACATTGAAACTGTTGAAACATAAAGAAATATATATTAAAAAGAAGGCAAGTTTCTTAAAGATGTATGAGAAAGTCTCCCACAGCACGGCAGAAGTCACAGTAGCACTGGGTTGGGTGGAAGAACAAAGGCTCCCTCTGAGGCAGGAGACAGCGCAGGGAGAGCCCTGAGGCTGCACAGCTGTAGCGGGCCAGCGGCTAGCATCCTGGTTACCAGGAAACACCCCTTACCACTTAGGTAGAATAAATAGGAAACTGAGGCAGGGAGGAGGAAGGAGACAGGTCTCACACGCTAACTCGGCAGTCCTGAGCCTGGTCTGATAATATTGCCAGGTGTTCCAACATCATAAGAAACACTATATTAGCAAGAAAGAAGGGAAGTCCTTGAAATTCTGTGTAACATTTCCACTATCTGGGAAAGCCTTGAAACTGTGCCTTCATCCCAAGGCCTGGAATGCAGGACAGGGTCCCCAGTGCCCCAAGAAGAAGCCCATTAAACAACTTTGGTTAACTGTCTACCTCTGGTCACCAACTGTTTTAGGAGGGAGTCCCTAGTTCTTACAGAATAAGCCTATAAATAACTTTGGAAAGTGCCCCAATTTTAATTAACTGCCTCCTGTCACATATTTGTTTTACAATAAGATGAACAAATGGAGTCTGGAGCAAGATAAGGATTCATGCTAACAGACCCCCATGCATAGTAAGTTTGGGTAGTCACGTCCCCCTGGGAAAGCTGGCACTGCATTTTCCCATTAATCAATATGTAACCTTTTTCTCCTATCATACCCACTATGTAAGTCCTCAGAACAAAGGACTTGCTCTCTCTCCCTTGGTGGCTCAGGGTACTCTTGGCTCTCTAGCCACCTGGCCTCAGGCCACCTGGGGGCTTGCCACCCTGGTCTTCAGATGCTCTTACTTTTGCCGTCCTGCTTTGCCCTGACACTTTGCCTTTCACCCCCTACTCTACCCAGTCCTGTTCTCTTCCATGGGAACAGGCCACTAATAAACTGATTACATACTACTAGATTTGCTGATCTGTAATTCTTTGCATGCGTCAGCAAGAAGAACCAGATCCCTCCCGTCAACACGTCCAACACTTTGATAGTCTCTGGTTCAAACGTCTGAATGAACTGCAGGACTACGACTGTGAGGACAGACCCACTCCATGGCATCAGTAACAATTAGAGTGGACTCCGCAAGCAGAGTTAGAAAGAAACAGATATTTTCATGGCCCTTTTGAAAGAAAACAACAGGAGCTAAAGAGAAACACAGTGAGGCCAGATAGCAGAAAACCATCCACCAACCTGCAGGCTGTCATACTGACTGCACACTAACTCCAAGTATGGGGTGGTAACCAAACAGCTGCCTTCGTCTGACCTGGCACTGGTAATTTTCCACTTTCTTCCCATTGTCAGGGGAATGTAAATCCCAAAGGAGCAAGCCAGCTGTCTAGATGGTTAACCACTGTGTTCTCTGAGGTTAGAAGAGAACATAGCAGGTAGCAGGCACTGACAAAGATATGCTGAATGAAAGGAAGGAGTGTTTTCCTTCTCTGTCTTAGCAAAGATCAAAGTAAACCTCTTGAAGTGTAAAATTCGGTGGTTTTTGAGAGTTGTGAAACTACCTAATTTTAGTACATTTTCATTACTGTACAAAGAAATCTTGTACTCACTAGCAGTCACTTCCCATTGACCCTCCCCTTAGCCTCAGGAGACCAATAGTCTACTTGGGTCTCTAAAAGATTTGCTTATTTTGGACATGTCATTTGAATGTTATCATACAGTACGTATGCTTTGCGACTGGGTTCTTTCACTGAGCATACTGTTTTCAAGGTTCATCCCTGTACATAGCATATGGGCCATTTTCAGCTTCCCAAGGTAGAATGTCTTGTTCTCTTTCGTGTGCTTTCTCAGTTTCTTCATATGCCTCTGACGAGAGCACTGACACTGCACAGTATATAGTAACTGTTTGAGGGTCTGTCTTCTCCCTTAGGCTATGACCATGGACATGCTGTGATCATCTTTGTCTTCATCTTTATATTCTAACCACCAACAAAGTGCCCAGCTCATGAATGTGTCCAGAAAATGTTACTGAAGGAATGGACAAATGTTCAGAATACTGCCTCCCCAGTGCCTCTCCAGTGTATAGGGTTAGCATTTAACTCCAAAGGGATATTGCAAAAAATCTGTAGCCCACACCCAGGTCTACCTTGAACCATCACGTATAAACTAAGTAAAGCCCTGCAGACCCCAGTGACCGTGAAGCTCTCCAGAAGAAATGCGTCTTCAAATGCTCCTTCCCCAATATCTAACACAGGGAGAGGAGAATTATAGGAAAGGAGACACCGGATACTGCTAAAGTAATTTAAACATACTGGTGTATTTGTATGTATGCACACGCGAATGCATGCCTAGCATACGGATAAGCTCCCACTGCCTTCTAATGAGGGCAACAACAACAAAAAAGAAGTCAAAAAGTGTACCTGCAGCCATAACACTCATTAGTGTTTCTACTCTCTGACTGAATCCTGACTGATAGAATATACTTGTCACAATTAAAGTTAACCAATAAAATCCAGAGCTTCCAAAGAAGCCAAGAAAAAAAAATTGGACATAGAAAACTTTATCAATCTAATAGAAAACAGAAAAATAATGGGGAGAAAAAAAAGTTTATGGATCCACGTGTACGTGATAAAGTATAAAGAAATGAACAGGAAAGGTAGAAGCCAACTAAATGACAAAAGTTGCCCCTGGTGAGGGGCTCGACTTTAACATTCAAAAAGAAGATAATATTGCCCTGACTGGCGTGGTTTAGTGGATTGGGCATCATTTTGTAAACTAAAAGGTTCCTGGTTCAATTCCCAGGCAGGGCACATGCCTGGGTTAAGGGCCAGGTCCCCTGTTGGGGGCACAGGAGAGGCAGGTGAGGATTGATGTTTTTCTCTCCCTCTCTTTCTCCTTCCCTTCCCCTCATAAATAAATACAATCTTTAAAAAAAGGAAGTAAATAATAATAGTATACATAGTATTCTTCAGCTTCCTTTAAAAAAAAAACTTACATTTCAGTTACTTTTATTGTGGCTGCATTTTAACTATAAAACAAATACATTAAAAATTATCCCACCTTTGTGCTCCCACAGCACACTATGGTTTTCCATTAAAGCACTTACTGATAGGGGAGTCAAGAGTCGGAAAATTTTAGTTTAAGGTAATAGTTAATAAGCCTAGTAGTTGATGCATGTAAAAAACTATTGTTTCAGTAACTGCAGGTACAGCTCACCCTGACTCCAGGAGAGCAGAAGCCATTGACCTTTGTGCTCCAGAAGGGACCACAAGCAATCAAGGTGGTATCTGAGCCATTCTGTTCCAGGGAGAGACAGTCTGCCACCCAGATCACAGATAAAGAAAATGACACAGGACACAGATAAAGCAAATCACAGGCCCTGGCTGGTGTGGCTCAGTGGATTGAGCGCCGGCTGCGAACCAAAGGGTCGCCAGTTCGATTCCCTGTCTAGGGCACATGCCTGGGCTGCAGGCCAGGTCCCTAGGGGGGCCATGTGAGAGGCAATCACACATGTTGCTTTCCCTCTCCTTCTCCCTCCCTTCCTCTCTCTCTCTAAAAAAAGAATAAATAAATAAAATCTTAAAAACAAAAAAATAAAGAAAATCACGGGTCAGCAGATGGAAGGATGTCAGGGAAACTGCTGGACTGCAGCTTTTATCTGATTAACCTGTTCCCTGAACCCTAACCCTACACTTTTTTCCCTTGAATTCCAGACCTGTCACATACACTTTTCTTCTCCTTATAAAAAGGGTTGTCTTAGAATGGAATTTTAGGCAGTTTGTTAGGGTACAAACCCACCGTTTTCTCAGACCGCTGGCCATCTGAATAAAGCGCCCATAAAGATTCAATACCTGTCTGTGCTTATTGGGTCTGGTAGGTGACAGGCAGCACAAAAGCCGGCTTTTCCAGTTTCGTTACACCTTATTATCTATTGTTTGTTTAGTTACCTGCCTCCACATATACACTCTAATCTCTATTAGGGCAGGAACCAATTCTATTATGTTCACCACTAATTCCTCAGTTCTAATGTGATGGTTCCTATTAAATAATATGTGCAGTAACATGGTAAATTACCACACTAGCATAGTGCTAGCATAATGCCTGACACACACGAGTTGCTTGTTTATTGAATCAGTACATGAGCATATGAAAAAATGGAATTCACACCAGTTTGTTCATGTTTCACTCATTCTAGAGAAATCTAAAAGAATGCCTTGCTGGGGCTTACAGTCCTCAGGAGCAGAAGCTACTCCGTGGTCGGTCATTAGGCTGTTGTTTTGTTACTCCAGTCTGAGCACAGCTAGGAAGTGGAGGTCCACTGTTGGTGGCATTGTCTCACTCCTCACTCCACAGCCTGTGGTTTGGTTTGACAGAAAATCAGCAGAAAAGTTACCCCATCTGTTTTAATGTAATTTCCAAAAACTGTCTCACCTGAAGAAAGATACTTAGGCACTTGGAGTCTGGAAAGGCACTGCCAGATCCACTCTCTCATCTCAGTTCCCTGCAGGCACATACACCTCCCTTCTCAATGCCCGAAGCCTGTGCGCACCTCCAGCACAAAACACTTGAATGCAAATGTACAAAATGCCCATTATCCATGTTGAGTCGTGTGTCTCAAAAACTGGATAGAAACACCTGAATTGAAGCCTACAGCTATTCAGCCCAAGTCTTGCTGCTCTCAAGTGTCCAGCTTTTTGGGAGAGGCAGGCAGGTTAAGCATCAGCTTCCTTGCAGCTCTGTGAGCACTTGGTAACCATTTGTGTACTCCTGTCCCACCCCCAAAACCTTGAGTTGTAAAGGATTTTAAGGCAGGCCCTGCATCTTATTTCTGAATCTCTGATGTCAGCACAAAACTGAACACCCAGTAGACGTAACTTTTAGTAGAAATAATGAAATGGACAGCGACTTGTTTCTTCAGCTTTTAACCTAGAGATGTGCACCCCTAAGAAAGTCATTTCACCTCGCTGGGACTCAGTTTCCCCACCCGGTCCCCCAAGCTCACACTCAAACTCTGACAATTTCTAGTCTCAAATGTTGTGGGGATGTTGCGTTCCTCGCGTTCCCAGCAGGCTCCCGTATCGATTATAAGAAGGGGGGCGGGGGAGCAAACGGAAAACACATCCCGAACTGTTTTCCTGCCCCAAGGGGCGGGCGCCGCTGGGGACCACTCACCCTCCTTAAACCAGGGCGCCATGTAGCTCAGGATGTAAGTAGGGTCCAGGATCTTCGTGACATAGTCCCGGAAGGCGTGCAGGTTCCGCCGCTCCTCGGCCGTCATTGTCCCGTCTCGGATCCCTGCGAAGTCCCGCTGCGCCGGACCCCGCTCCTTTTAAAGCCCGCGGCGAGCGGGTGGGAGGCCCGGCTGACGCGGAAATGTCCATCGTAAATGGAAACGGAAAAACGAAACTGCAACTAGCTAAGCGGAGGCAGGGCTCCTGCAGGGCCTGGCCGCCGGCCCAGCCTACCCGCGCCGTTTCGTTTTTCTCTCTGGCTCCCGGCTTTTCCCACCTGTGGGCTCTCGTCGGCCCAGTGGATGGGGAGGAGACTCCTGGGAATGGCTTTTTTGATTTTCATTTTACCTTATTATTTTTTTGTTTCGCTTGTGTAGCGTAGCATAGGTGTCCAACCTTTTGATGTCTCTGTGCCACACTGGAAGAGTTGTCTTGGGCCACACATTAAATGCATTGCAACACGTAAACACACAAAAAAATTCATAATGTTTTAAGTAAATTTACAATTTTGTGTTGGGCTGCAGGTTGGACACCCTTGGAAGTGTAGGTTCAATAAAGTGCACAGATTTGATGTGTACACTTCTTTTATTTTTCTCAGATAGTAATGAGGCAGGAGACTGCGTAGAAAGAACTCTGAGACTGCAATATTGTCACTGGCCAGCATTTAGCACCCTGGTTGCCAGGAAACGCCTTTTACCAATTAGGTAGAATAAATAGGAAGCCGAGGCAGGGAGGAGAAAGGAAACTTGTCTCACACGCTAACTCAGCAGTCCTGAGCCTGGTCTGATAATATTGCCAGGTGTTACAACATCACAAGAAAGACTATGTTAGCAAGAAAGAAGGAAAGTCCCTGAAATTCTATGTAACATTTCCAACTATCTGGGAAAGAAAGCCTTGAAACTGTGCTTTCATCCCAAGGCCTGAATGTGGGACAGGGTCCCCGGTGCCCAAAGAAAGAGCCCATAAAACAACTTTGGTTAATTGCCTACCTCTGGTCACTATCTGTTTTAGGAGGGAGTCCCTGATGCTCACAGAAATAGCCCATAAATAACTTTGGAAAGTGCCCCAATTTTATTTGTTTGTCACGTATTTGTTTTACAAGATGAACAAATGGAGTCTGGAGCAAGATAAGAATTCGGGCGGACAGACCCCCATTCATCCCTAAATTTGGGCAGTCACATTCTCCAGGAAAGCTGGCACCACATTCACCCGGTTAATCAATGTAACTTTTGTAACTTTTCCCCTCCTATCCCACCAATTATATAAGTCCTGAGAACAAAGGACTCAATCTCGCTCTCTCAGGGGCTCAGGATGCTCTTGGCTCTCAGGCCACAGGGCCTCTGGCCACCTGGCCTCAGGCTGCCCAGGGGCTTGCCACCCTGGTCTTCAGCCGCTCTTGCTCTTCTCACCCTGCTTTGCCCTGAAACTTTGCCTTTCACCCCCTACTCTACCCAGTCCTGTTCTCTTCCATGGGAACGGACCACTAATAAACTGATTACATACTACTAGATTTGCTGATATGTAATTCTTTACACGCGTCAGCAAGAAGAACCAGGTCTCTCCCGACAACATTTGCACGTACTTACTGGCCACTTATATATATCTGTGTGTGTGTGTGCGCGCGTGTGCGCACGCGTGTGTGTGAAGAATTTCCTCCAATCTTTTTGCCTGTTTGAATGGTTTTTGTTTGTATTAAGGATTTACAAGTTATTTATTTATTCTGGATACAAGCCCATTGTCAAATATATGTATCCCAAATGTCCTCTCCTAGTCTATGACGTATTGTTACATTTTCTTAAAGGTGTTTTGAGCAAAAGTTTATTTTGGTGAAACCTAGTTTATCAGTTGTTTCTTTTGTTTAGTGCTTCTTGTGTCCTCGAATAAATCTTGGCCTACTAGGTCATTAAGTTATTCTTTGTTTTCTTTTAGAGTCTTAGAGTCTTCGTGTTTTTAGCTTTCACATTTAGGTCTATGATAATCTCAAATTAATTTTGTTGTGGTGTGAGGTGGGGGTCAATGTTTCATTTCCCCCCCAACACTTCAACTGTTCCAGCAAAAAGTGTTTCTTTTGTTGAAAAATTTTCCTTTTCCCATTGAATAGCCTTGTCACCTTTGTCAAAAAATCAATTGACTGTTATGTGTGCAGATGTATTTTTTAATTCTAACCAGTTCTATTTATCTATTTGCTGATACTGCTTATTCTTTGTAAAAACTATATTGGCTATTCCAGAGCCTTTGCATTTGGCTATGACATAACCACCAATATGTCAATCCCTCCCCACCCCACCCCCCTGTCCTTCCCCTACCCAACACAGACACAGGTAATTGGGATTTTGATCAGGGCTGCACTGAACCTATAGATGAACTTGAGGAGAACTGACATCTTAACAATTTTGAATTCTGATCGATGAGTTTATTTATATTTGTTTAATTTCTCTCAGCCGTATTTTAGTGTTGAAAGTACAGGTCTTATACATCTGTTAATTTTACCTTAACTATTTTATGTTCTTTGATGCCACTCTAAAGGGAATTGTTTCTGAAGTTTCATTTTCAAATTGCTGCTAGTATATAGAAATACAAGTGTTTTTGTTTTTTAATCTTATTTTACACAACATTGCTAAATTCACTTCTTGGGTCTAGTAATTGTTCAGTAGATTCCTTAAATTTTGCTAGATAAATAATCCTGTCATTTGTGAATCCATATTTTTTACTTCTTTCCAACCTTTATGCTTTGTATTTTGTTTCCTTATTGCACCACCTATGACCTCCTATAAAAAGTTGAATGAAAGTGGTGAGAGTTGACACTCTTACCTTATTACTAATCTCAAGGGAGAAACATCTGTTTTGCTTTAATTACAATGTTGCCTGTAGGTTTTTTTAGATGTTCTTTATCAGACTGGCATTCTCTTTTATTCCTGGTTTGCTCAGTTGTTATCATGAATGGGTGTTGAATTTTTCAAATGTTTTTTTAATCAGTTGAGGTGATCATATATTGTTAAAAAATGAATTTCACTGATTGATTTAAATTTTTTTTTCTATTTTTTTAGAGGAAGAGAGGGAAACATCAATGTGTGGTTGCTTCTGGAACTCCCCTTTCTGGGGACCTGGCCCACAACCCAGGCACATGCCCTGGCTGGGAATCAAACAGGTGACCCTTTGATTTACAGGTAAGCATACCAGCCAAGCTCACTGATTGTTTTTTTTAATATTAGACCAATCTAGAATTCCTGGAATAAATCCCATCTGGTCATGATATAGCATCATTTTTTATATATTTTTGGATTCAATTTATTAATATTTGTATATCTATGTTCATAAAAGATACTGGTCTGTAATTTCTTTTCTTATAATGTAAGGGTTATGCTGGCCTCATAAAACAAGGGTTTGTGTAAGATTGGTATCAATGCTTCCTTAAATCATTAACAGAATTCATCAATGAAACCACTGGGCTTGGAGTTTTCATTGTTTGAAGATTATAATGATTCAACTTCTTTACTATATGTAAGGCTTTTATGATTTTTTATTTTATCTCATGTCAGTTTTAGTAAATTGGGCTTTCTAAGGAATTTGACCATTGCTCTAAATTATTAAATTTATGGCACAAAGTTGTTTTTGATATTCCTTATTATCCTTTACCTTTTTAAAAAATTAGTCTTGCCAAGAATTTAACAATTTTATTTACCTTTTCAAAAGACCAACTTTGGCTTTGATATATTTTAAATTGTTATTCTACTTTCTATTTCATTGATTTCCATTCTGATCATTATATTCCTTCTACTTTGGGTTTAATTTGCTCTTTTTTATTTTTTTACTAATTGGTTAAGGTATAAGTTTAGCTTATCAATTTCATATACCTTTCTTTTCCAGTATAAGCATCTGCAGCTATAAATTTCTCAGCTGCATTCTAACACCCCACCAATCTTGACATACTGTTTTCAATGTCATTCCATGTGACATAGTTTCTAATACCCCTGTGATTTCTTCTTTAACCTCTGAGTTATTTAGAAATATGCAGCTTATTTTCCAAATATTGGGAATTTTCTAAACATTTCAGGGTTATTGACTTCTGATTTTAATCTGTGAGACACTCAATATGTTGTCAGATTTTGATCTTTTGAAATTTAGTGAAACATGTTTATGCCCAGCATATGAATAAACTGTATTGATGTATGTTCCAGATACACTTAAGAAGAATGTATATGTTGCAGTTCTTGCGTAATGTTCTGTAAGTGTCAATTAGTCAGGCTGAGTTCTAGTGTGGTTCAAGTCTCCTACATCCTTACTAATGTTCCCTTACTTGTCCCATCAAGTACTGAGAGGGGGTGTTAAAATCTCCAACTATGAACATTTATTTGTCCATTTGTCCCTTTTGTTCTATCAGGTTTTGCACCATAATTTTGTAACTCTGTTATTAGATGCATACACATTTAGGGTTGTTAAGTGTCAGGAGCAGACCAACAGTTGACCTTTGACACAGTTAGGTAGGATGAGAAGCATCTGCACAGCAGAGGCGACTGTGGCCGGATCTCCTGTCTATCTCCTCCTGCATGCCTGTCCCTGCTAGCAATAGGTGGTGGGATTTTGGGATACCTGCGCGTTACAACAAAAAATCTGTACAATGCCTCTGATTCTGCACGAAATGACTTGCTGAAAACAGAATAGAGACCCCTAGTAACACTAATGTTGCCTGCTTCCCCCACCTGGGAAGTTAAGGACAAAATTAAACTATGGACAGACCAACTGCCAGAAAGCTGAAGGAAGCTGTTGCTAGGAATATTTCTTAGGGAGTCACCACTCGAAAGCTTAAGATTTATTAGAGCCACTACCCCTCCCATACCCTGGAGAGGAGTGTATAGAAGCAAGGAGTTCTAGTTGAAAATAATCTCAATACATGGAAACGAACACAAAGTATGCCCCCCCCCCAAGATGTATAATCAAAAAACCTAGGCAAAAAACCAGTTACCTAACCCGAGATAAATTTAATCTCAATGGATAATAGTTGATTTCTATATACTTATAAATCACCCCTTGCACCCTTTTAATTTAGACCAACTCCTAGAATCTTAATAGATACCTAGTTACTAATTGGCACCAGAAAGTTTGTGCCCATATGGCTTCGTTGGCTATCTGATTAATGACCTTCTTGGTCAAAATAACCTTTGTTTAACATGG